TCTAGTGAGAATTTTGTTCTGTTTTTAAGCTCTGAGGGCTGTACAAAATTCTGGCACCTCATCAAGCAATTATTTTAATTTGACCATTGTGGAATCCTGTAGTTCAGTGGTTAGAGCTCTTGCCTCACAAACGAGAGACCTGGGTTCGATTCCTGGCAGGGCGAAATATTGGGCAAGTTTCTTTACTCCCCACGCATCTGTTTACATAGCAATAAGTAGGAACTCGGTTGTTATTCGATTGGCGGATCGCTTTTCCAGGGGTAATAATTCCTTTAAAAAAATTATAATAAATTGGTCACTCATTCCACAACTGTTTGTGGGACACTGCTGTGCACAATTGGCTTCCAGGACTTCGAAGGGCAGACCGGTCGCTGGGGGCAGGGAATCCTCCCACTCAGCGCCTGTTAACCCTGCAAGACAAAGTCCTAATGGGTGAAGTAGTCCTAGCTGGACAAGCAGAGGGAAAGCTTGCCAGACAGTGCTATCAGTGTTTTAGCTAGTTAAACTCCAACAGCATCCCAACTGCCAACCTGCGTCTAATGCTTTCCAGAATTAGGTGAGCAGGAAGCGTCCTTCCAGGGAGAGAGCGCACATTCCATTCCAACAATCTATCTTTGGAAATTCCATGTGAAGGTGGGATGCGTGGGATTCTCAGTTTGGTTTGGATACTCTTAAGCACGGTGATGGGTTTCCACATGTGTCAGACATCCTGCTGACACTAACCCCCCCCCACCCAAAAAAAATTCTAATTTGTGCCATAATTTATAAAAAGCTTTGATTGCGCAACTTAGCATATGATCAAATTTGGAGATTACTGTCTTGGTACAAACTAGCTAGCTCTTATAAACAAGGCTGAAAAAAAACAAGAGGAACCCATGACTTGCCTTACACAATATGTGACCACTGCTATCTCACCTCCTATGCCACAATGAAACAACGTTTTGGAAGCTCAACATTTGAGCAAACGTGCAATGAAACCATATACCACTCGGCTTCAGTGCCACTGTAATGTTCAATTGCCTATTAGTTTTAAGTGCTTTCTGAGCTTTATATGTCACACCACACGACAAGCCATGCTCAATTTAGCTGAAGATATGGTCTCAGTTTTCAATCAACACAAAAGAAAACATGCCTGAATTACCGAACCTCCAATTTTCCCCTCTCTTCCTGAGAACTGACTAATGGCTTTCACTCACTCACCAATATTGCAGAGCAACATGACTCAGGTGAAGAATTTAGCTATATAGTGGATAAAAGGTCAAATGTGGGTTTGAGCATTTTGTGTTATTGCAATTCAGTTCTCCAACACAATGTGTCAACACAGACTCAAATTCTTGAAGCATTCAGCAAGACTCACTCACCTGAATTATATTGAGTGGACACCACAGTTTGCTTTCAATTTTCTTCCCTTCGTAATTAAATCCTTGAGTCAAAATGCAGCTTTCTGTGACAATACCCGTGAGTTTGTTTGAACCCAAGGGTGGTACAGATTCACCTTATCCTGTACTTTACACTCTAATGCTCTCAATTCCTATGTCTTTGATTTCCCTCATCCTCCATTTCATACCTCCGATGCCTTCACTACCGTCTCCTGCATGATCCAGTGTTTACCTCACAAATAAAATGTCTGATAAAATAAGATATCTTGTAAAAATAAACATTTTGTGGCTCCACTCCTGCAAAATTTACAATTCAAGAACTTTTGTAATAAATAGCGTTACCCCAATCAAACCTATTCCCTATAGTAATAACAGACTGGCTACAGAGAACAAGGGATAGATTTAGTAACCTGATAATCTCTTTCTTACCGCAAAACCAGAGGAGGGAGCAGTGCTATTTTGTAAAACCAAAGCTGTAAGGCAAGAAAAGTGATATGAAAACCTGCCACACAACCATTTCAACTACCCCTGGTAAAAAATCCTCCCCCCCCCCGCCCCCACATCCTCGGCTACCTCAGGGCCATCTGAATCCTTCCCCACTGGGCTTCCTCCCAAAATGACCTATCCTCCTCGGTCACTCTTCTCCACAGCTCCCTCTCCTCCACTCAATTCCCTTCTCTTCCTGAACCGTCTCCTATTCACATAAGTCACCGTGGTACACCAGCCAGCTCTACTCCCTTAAAGCCGCTGAGCACACCTGCTTAAATCAAACTTAACGGTCCTTCGGCAGATCTGGCTGGACCATATCAAATCCTACCGCTCCGCCCATGCCTCTGCTAAATCGTCATTCTACTCCAAGACAATCTTGGAGGCTAAAAACAACCCCAGGCTCCTCTTCTCCGACCACCCTCTCACGCCTCACCCATCCTCACCTCAATGGCAACTGCAAGGCGATTCTGGACTTCCTTGAATCCAAAGTCGAGGGAATCCGCTCAGCTGCCTCTGCCATTCCATCTGCTACCCCCTCCCCATCTCCTCCTCCCACCCCGGCCCCTACCCATCCCTCCCTCCACACCTTCAAACCTGTCTCCCCCTCCTCTCTCATCACCACCATAACCCGCATGAAACCGACCACCTGCTCCCTCAACCTCATTCTTAGCCCTCTCCTTACCTCCCAGTTCCATCTCCTTACCCTCTACGCACCGACATCATAAACCCCTCCCTGTCCTCTGGTTCTGTTCCCATCCTATTAAAAACCGCCATCATCACTCCTATCCTTAAAAAACCCTCCCTGGACACATCTCTAAACCCAAACTACTGCCCCAACTCCAACCTCCCTTTCCTCTCCAAAGTCCTGGAACAAGTTGTCGCTTCCCAGCTTCACTCCTTCCTCTCCCACCACTTCCTTCACGAACCTCTCCAATCAGGTTTTCGTGCCGCCCACAGCACAGAAACACCCCTGGTCAGTGACAAATGACATTCTGTCTATCTGCGACCAGGCCTCCCTCTGTCTCCTCGTCCTCCTTGACCTCTGCTGCCTTCGACACCGTCGACCACTCTATCCTCATCCACTGCTTCTCCTCGCACCTCAAGCTTTACGGTTCTGTCCTTGACTGGTTCGGATCGTACCCTCACGCCGCCTCCACTTCATCTCCACAAACAGTTTCTCCTCTAGCCCCCACACCTTCTCGTACGGCGTTCCTCAGGACTCTGTCCTTGGTCCCCTCCTCTTCAATACCTATATGCTCCATCTTAATGACATCATCCACAGACATGGGGTCAACTTCCACATGTATGCGAATAACACCCAACTCTTCTCTCTCTGCCTCCATTCTGGACTCCAGGATCACTGTTGTCCTGACACAATGTCTGTCGGATATCAAGTCCTGGATAAGAGCTAATTTTCTTCACTTGAAAGTCAACAAGACCGAGGCTCTCCTGATAGGCTCCCCTCTCCCGCACTGGGCTCCGTGACTCCATCACACCCATCCTCGCCTGACTCCACTGTCTTCCCATCACACAGAGGATACAATTCAAGATCCTGGTCCTCACCTTTAAAGGCCTCCATGGCCTTGCTCCCCCCTAACTCTGCTACCTGCTAACCCCCTACCACCCTGCTCACTCGCTCCACTCAGCGGGCTCCGGCCTGCTCCACGTCCCCCGCCTCACTCACCCCACTATTGGTGGGTGGGCCTTCTACCACTCTGCCCCCACCCTCTGGAATTTCATCCCGGGGTCCTCCACCTCACCTTGCCTCCTTCAAGACCCATCTCAACACCCTCCTCTTCGACTGTGCTTTCGATCTCCCTGCTTCCACCTCTGCCCTCCACCCTCCCCCACCCCGACCCCCAGCTCGGGTCCATAACGCTGTCTGTCCAGTGCCTTGGGACGTCCTCCCGACGTGAAAGCCGCTATACGAATGTAATTTTGTTGTTTTGTTGTTGTATTCCAAAATAGTAGCAGCATCACTGGGCGGACACGCGGCTGATCAAAAAAAATGCATCATGGCCTTGATCACAAGCTTTGTCTCACCAACCTGTGCCTAAGATGCATTCTAGGCCTTCACATGAGGGAGAGGGGAATACAAAGGTATGGGAGAGTGAGGAATGGGTGGAGCCTCATGTAGATGCTGAGTAGACCACTACTGCACAACTAGATGCAGAGGTCACACCTTAATGCCCATTGTTGAGACATACAAATGAAAGGGTTGGGGGTACTCTGTGCAATTTATGCACTGACTATGATCTTTTACCACTCAGCCTAAAGTCATGAATTTGGCTTTTAATTGTAAGATCCCTGCAAACAAAATAGCTTTGGTGCACATAAAAGTCAATGTGAATAAAAGCATTGACCTTTTCAGAATGCTACTTGCTTTCTTATGCAGTATAAATAGAGCACAATTATTTGAAAGAATACATTGTTCATTTCCTATGAATATTTTGATTTTATTCTAAAAATAAACATTTCAATGTTATATTCGCTGCATTTTAGGCGATTTGTTTCCATAACCAGAATGGATTGTCCTTTGGCGAGTGGCGGAATTCACACACTAGAATTGATTTTAAGAACACCACAATACAGACAATAAAACAATATGAATTCAATTGTTAATATTTTGAATTAGTATTAGTTCAATTATACTTAATTTCTTCGGCTCAAAATACAGGAATCGTTTCCAAATCTTTTTAAGTGGGACAAATGCTGTTTTGTGAACGTTTCAAAGGCACATACCAGAGAAATTACTGGATGTATGTGGTACCAATACATCTGATACATACATTCAGACCAATAAGCATGAAACTGTAAGGAGGCAGGTAGATGTCAGATAATGTGTAATACACCTGGACTGTCCAAAAATGGGAGGCTTTCAACTCTGCTTGGGTTTAGTCCATTTCATACCCAGCTTTTTTTTCCTAAGTTCCTTCATAAAATGCTTTGCAATTATCCTCTCATGCAATAGTTGGTCGAGTAGCCACGTAAACGAAGAGAATGATCAATAGCACAACCACAGCCAGTGTGGGAAGCACTATAGTGGTGATCTGGTTGCGAGCCTCCTGCATGGCTTGCCTCCTTTCCTTTTTGTCTTTTGAGGTCTCCTTTTTTGGTTTTCCTTTCAGCTGCCTCATGTTTCTTTACACAAAGTTCACAAGAACTCCCAAGAAGCTGAGCGGATGACAGATCTGTTTCCTTTCTTGAGCAGCACAGATTAGTTTAGCCCTTTCTATTCTTGCATTTGGTACTCTCTGTTCTGTAAAGAAAAAAGATGCATTTTAGAATTTTCAGGACCACTAGAATTTATTCACTTTGTGACATGAATACACCTGATCAGTGGTAATTCATCTGTGTGGTGTGTGTGTTGGGGGGAAAGAAATTTAACTTTTTTTTCTGTCTATAGGCATGACAATTATTGTTGCTAAACAAACATCTAGCTTTGAGCTCTTGTTAGACTCATTATATCTTGTGAAGACAATGCTCTCACTCATCTTACAAGTTACTGCATATTCTGCAAGCATTAGGTAGCATGCTGACTGGAACACAGGAGGTGTGTAAAAGTAATTCATGGTATGCTGATAAAATGATGTCTAGGCAGCAATAGTAAAATGTTCAAATTTGCTAAACAGCGGCATGGATATTTAGTGCAGTAAGCAAAGTAGTAAATTGAACATGCAGTGCACAAGAGGAAATAATTTTGTTTGCTCAGCCTCTCCGATCCAAGAGTGCAGAGCACATGCTGAGGACCCAGCACATAAAGGACAGTATATTCCTCATTTATGTAACTGTAGATTAAAGGTGGAAAAAAATTCTTCTATTTGCTATATGTACATTTAATTTGCATACATTGGATATACATAGAATTACATACGTAGAATCCATAGCACTGAAACAGGCCGTTCTGTCTAATTGGTCGATGCCGGTGTTATACTCCACCTGAGCTTTCACTCATCTTAAGTTCGTCCTCCCTGCCGCTTCCTAGTCTCCACCTATACCCCTCTGTTTCTTTCTCTCTCATTTATGGATCCAGTTTCCTCTTAAATGCATTGATGCTTTTCGCTTCAACCAACTAATAGCAATGAGCTCCACATTCTACCCACCCTCTAGGTAAAGAAGTTCCTCCTAAACTCTTTTAGATCCTATGGTGTTCTGAAGCTCAGTAGTTAGAGCATTCACCTCGCAAGCGAGAGGACCTGAGTTTGATTCATGGGCAAGGCGAAACGTTGGGCAAGTTTCTTTACTCCACACAGCTCTGTTTACCAAGCAGTAAATTGGAATCTGGTTGTTAGTTGATTGGTGGATCGCTTTTCCGGGGGTAATAATCACTTAAAAAAATGTGGTCACTAAATCCACGACTGTTTGTGGGAAACTGCTGTGCATAATTTGGTTGCCATGTTTCCCCCAGAAAATATACACTTCGCAAAAATATACATAAAATATACATATATACTATGTAAAAATATACAAAAATATACAGTTTTTGTCTCCCAGATGTGATATGGAGCTAAATCAAATGCAAGGATTATTATTATTATTATTACAGATCAATCTGATATACATCACAAAGTTTGTGATAGTGTTATTAAACCGTGAATGCATGGATATCCAAAAAATGCTTACATCCTAAAGGATCATGCAAAACACAGACCAATCAACTGCTATGTTTCATTTTGGTCCAAACCCCAAGATCTATCAATCCGATCTTGGGGGTTGGACCAAAATTAAACACATCAGTTGATTGTTCTGTGTTACACAAGATCATCTAACAATAGTCAATGTGAGAAAACAAAGAAATTCAACTGACAAGTCTTGGATTGTAAAAGAAATTTGTGTACACAGGAGGCACGATATGCCAATTTTCATGTATAGGCAGATTTTTTTCATAACACACACAATTTTGCATTAACGCAATGCAGTGTAAATGTGACATAAGCTCTGTGTTTCCAGCATCTTTTAAGTTTTATTCTCCATGTAATACTCTACTGGAAAGCTGTGAATGCATAAATAATTAATACAACTGAAAAGGTTTCTCTTTATCCCACCCACCCAACAAATAAAGCCTTTTCAGAATATTAACACAGGAGCAACATTTTGAAATATGTACTTTTTTTCTGCAATTACAAATGTCCAAACAAACAATATAACGGAGAATTTTAGGCACTGAGAATTTTCAATACTATGGCTGCAGGATATGCTGAGCTTCCCGGTACTCACTACAGTGACTGTGAAATGGAAATTGCTAGAGTCTACAGAGAGATTGAGTGAAAGTCTGCAATTTCCATTTCTCAAAATAACTAAGATGCTCCTTTTAATGGGTTGGCAGTCTATGGCAGCACACAATAAATCCAGATCACTGCCTTTAAGAGAGGTTATCCACTGACTCTAGTTTAATATGATCTCTGTTTCTCTCCTTCACATTTTCACTGACGTTAACTGTAGAAATTGGTTAGAGGCAGCACGAGCTAGACATGTTGCAGAGATAAATTTGCATTACAACTATGCATTGTGCTGTCCAGCTGTAACCTGCAGACCAAGTCACCCAGGATCGCTTCAACACACTTCCTGGAAATCAAATCCAAAAGGAGTGTTGCCAGGGACCTCAAAATAGCTTGTCTGCTGACTCGCACCCAAACAGTACAAGAGAAGAAAACAAATAAAATGTTCATACATGAAGTACAACTCAATCATCTTTATCTCTGAACTTTCTAAGCAAATGATCCCCAAAAACTGCAGCAATTTACTCTCCTATTTATTGTCGCACCATTTGATCCAGATTGCCTTTAATTAGATTAAAGAATAGAAAGACGGACACATCATTTATCCAGGTTTCTTTCTGGTTTCCATTTATATCCACAAGTGGAAGTAATCTGCTTGTCATGGACAATGATTTAGGGGATTTAAGCGAAGTTTCAGCGCATATTATTTCAACACTGACACAAGATCACTCGTCCACTCAGTTCATCTGCTTTCATGCACTGAACAAACAGTGCTAAACAAATAACTTGCATGACGGCTGGCAGGTTTCAGTAAATTGCTCAAAAGCTTCAGACTTGGACTTTCCTTTTGATTAAAAATAAATTCAAGGTCGGGGGGAAAAAAATACTTCTTTGCCTTAATGCTCTTTACAATGATAAATTCATAATATAATACATTGTATAATAACAACCATTGATGTACCAATCATTCTAACCAGTGCAATATTCTTCACAGAATCGTACAGCACAGGTGCCTGTTCCGGCTCTTTGAAAGAGGTATCCAATTCGTCGCATTCCCCCACTCTTTCTCCATAGCCTTGCAATTTTTTTCAAGTAAATATCCAATTCCCTTTTGAAAGTTATTATTGAATGAAAGTATTCTATTTTACTGAACTGTTAGAATTTGAAATCATTCTGGCTTAACATTCATCTGGGGAGGACAAGTTTGCAGGGCTATGGGGAGAGAGCAGGGGAGTGGGATTGATTTGGATCGCTCCTTTCAAAGAGCCGGCACAGACATGATGGACCGAATGCCTCCTTCTGTGCAATATGATTCTATGCAATGTACTCTTATTAAACAATTGACAAGTCCTAAAGGTCTCCCTTCTTTTCTGAAAAAGACAGAAATCAAATTCTCAGTTGCAATTTTGGAACAATGGAAGACAACTGACAGCCTGCCACCCAAGTACAATTTTAGCACCAGTCTTGGATTCTCATGTTACACCCAGATTTGACACTTATCTACATAGATGCATTTTAGAGAGAAAAAAACATGACTCAGGAAAGAATAAGGTAAAACTGTCGCTGCCACTTCACTGAGTTTTGGGCTCAATTTGCTATCTGCCCAATTCTGAAACTTCATTCTCTGCTTTCCAGAATCAAACCTGGTAACTGTGTCCTTCTCAAATTACATCACCAGCCAATTAAGCACATGGGGCACACTTAACACACTGCATGTCTTTACTGCTCAGCAAAATATCACACGCATTTTATTTTTGACGAACTTTTGTTATGTTTTCACTGATGGATCAACACAAGATTAAATATACACAATGGAATGTAGCATGTGCTATTAGTAAAAGAAGCATTTTTTTTTTGCTCTCCATTTACAAAACGATTCTTAAGTGTGCATGTTAGCCCCTTTGCAAACAGAAAATGTTCACGTGTAGAAAAGGGCAGAGGATGATTGGAAGACACTGTGCCAGGCCCCATTGTTACAGAAGAACATGATAAATGGTTGTGAACTACGTGTAGTGTTCCCCTGAGGTGTTACACACTCCAACCTGATTCTGTTACCTTAAAACCCATCTTATCACTAGGTCTTGCTGTCACTATCCTACCCACATACATCTCTTACCGGGCTCAATACTTCACATCCAGTTTATTGTGGAAAATGTCAAGTTTACATTTTCTACATATCAAATACGTATATAAAAAAATTGCGCAAAGTCTGGAGTTGGTCTAATGATGCTGGCCTTACAGGCACAGCTCGTGGGGTATAATGTCACAGCCGTGCTTTATAATCAAGGCACGGAAACATAGCCAACTTCCAGGTAATCACTAATGCTACTTTGTGCATGTTGGAGCCATGGAAGTGCCATTGGCCTCACTTTCTTTGTAAAATGCCATTAGTGGCCTCTCCTGTGCACACAAAAAATCCTTCGAAAAAAATAACTTGTTCACTCAATCCACGTCTGTTTGTAGCTGTGCACAATTGGCTATTGTATTTCGCCCACAAAATAAACAGTCAATTCACTTTACAGTATATTTTGTGAAGCGCTTTGAGGCGTCTAGAAGATGTGAGAAGTGCTATATCAAATGCAAGGATTATTTTTATAATACAGACCATCAGAACTCTGCATGTCCGTTGTCTCTCCGGCAGCACCTCCCGCGCCCCCCATTCAAGATCCCGGCACGTTACATCCACAAAATACAGTCAATCTGTTTTACAATATATTCTGTGCAGCGCTTTGAGATGTCTCAACAATGTGCGCTATATTAAATGCAAGGATCCCTCCACATCCTCGCCCTACCCGACTACGTGACCTCCTTTTGCCCTAACTTCCCAGCTGTTCACCTAATAGTGTGCTCCCTGACCCTCACGATCCACCCCACCATCAGTGGATGAACTTTCAGCCATTCTGCTCTTGGTCTCTTAAATTCAATGCCGGTTTTCCAACTCCCCTCTCCCTTCCTACCTCCCACCCCCAACCCTCCTCAGATCCTCCTCCCCCAGCTATATGTACACTTTCTAGCCCTTTTTCTCTTCTCTGTAGTTCATATGTGCCTCAGAGTCTCCTTTCTTGTTCCCTCTTTCCATAGCCTGCTCAGAAGCCTACAAACCCGAGGCTTTGATCCCACAGTCTGCAGCAACTTACTGCCGCAAACCTTATTGCACCCCCATTATGCAACTAACTAAAATCAGGAAAGAACGTGACTACAGCCTAGGCATTTTCCAGATACTATAGTATAATATTCCACTCCTAAAAACAAATTTTCAAAATCGGAAAAGACAAATTTGATCTTTACAAAACAGACTCTATAAATAGAACTCTTGTCTTTCCAAACCCATTAGCAATTTAACTGCTAATGAGATCTGAGGTCGTCACTTCCCAAATACTTCAGCTATTTAAAAAATACGCTCCTGTCCACATCAATATGGTCACAGGTGGAAGACAGATGTATCAATCTACTGTACTGCAATCAAGTTTTCCAGATGGGCCACAAGATGGAGTTTAGCTCCCCAGAGAGAAATGGACCCAATTTGCTTTCTTGTTCCTTGTGCAGTTGCTCTCATATAAGCTGAGCAGGGGCACTGCAAACTAACATTAGCCAATGCAGAGGGGCCTGAGAGTGGCATGCCCTCAGTGCAAGGCCAGTAGAGCTGAGAGAGGGGGGTTTAAAGTTTTTTTAAAAACATGTAAGAGCATATCTATTTGACTTCTAAAATTTTGCTCACTGGACAGCAACACACCCGTCTGATTAGTCTTGCATGATATTTTGTGACTGCTTTATATGCAATTATAAATGCATTACGTTCAATATATGTATTGACATTTAATATCAAAGTGTGTGTCAGCCTGGCACAGTGGTAGCACTCTCGCCTCGAGTCAGAATGTGGTAGATTCAAGTCCTGTGTCGGGACTTGGAATCACATAGTCTAAGCTGACACTCCAATGCAGTGCTGGATGTGTGATGCATTGTCGGAGTTGGATATTAAAGATCCCAAGGCACTATTCGAAAAGCGAAGGGAGTTTTTAGCGATACACTGGCCAATCTCCCAAAATAAAACAATTGGTCACTCACTCCATGGCTGTTTGTGGGACATTGCTGTGCCCACAAAATACAGTCAATCCATTTTGCAGTATATCCTGTGAAGCGCTTTGAGACATCTCAACAATGTGAAAGGCACTATATCAAATACAATGATTATTATGATTGTACTCAGAAATCCCATCAATACTGTATGTACAGTTGTAGCTACAATCCCTGCATTAATAGCACCTTTTTTTGTATGTAAAAACACAACTTTTAAAATAACAGGTCTGAAATGTATCATCATTCTGTTTGCCAACCGCAATACAATTCCATTATCGCATCTGGTTATCCCCGAACATTACGGTATTGCCATCTTCAATCACAGGAATTTCAGCAGCATTCTTAACTGTCTATCCTCCGACTTTGAGACCACAAATGATTGCCACATGATCAGTACAATGCAGTAATTTAATCAAGTGGCTCAGATGATGTCACCTGAGCCCTGGGAGTACATTGCAGTTTATTACTCTGTTCCAACCACCCATAATTCTATGTGATTTACGCAGCAACTACTACAGGATATTGTCTCAAAGATGGCCTTAAATGACCACTGTGAAATGTGGTCAGCCCCAAACTACAGCTTGTGATTGATGAACTTCTTAGTTCACCATCATGTCTGAAACGAGGAACTGCAAGGAGTGACCTTTTTTAATGCTTAATGTTCGGTTGCAGCACAGACTACAACAAACTGAGCTGAGTCACCAATAATGCATGTTTATCTTTACAATGTCTCCACTAAAACAGTACGTAACAAGCAGACGTATGTACCCTCAGTACTGTGAAGCAATTGTACACGGGCATTATAGTAATTTCAGTTAAGACATCCAGCATCATAATTGCAGATAATTTAAACTGGTTTCCCACAACAATTTACATTTTTTGAAAACAATTCATACAAACAATGGAATATAAACCATATAGTCAAATTAATTCTGTGATGAAGTTGTAATAAGTTAGTTTTCACATTATTATCAATCATAGTGGACCAAACACAGTGGATGGTGTTATCACACAACTACTATGAGGCATACCCCCTCAAGCTTGCTTGGGGGGGGGATGACGACACAGAGGAGAAGCCTGACATTCCCTCTCCCTAAGAGAATAACATACCGTAGTATTGTGCCATGTCTATAGTGAAGTAGTACAGTATTGAATTGCCTGCAGAGACAACTATCCCACCCTTCTAACAAGGTATCAGAGCCGGGAAAGAAAAAAGGAAAAGATTACAAAGAAAGCATTTGAAAGCAAATAGCCCAACTCAAGTCCTTGCTGCTCTCCTGTCTCAATACATCTGCAATAAAACAGGATACCATTTTACTCACATCCCAACACTTGGCAGAGGTGTAGGACAAACAAAAGAGACGTTACCTGAATGTGGTTGAATATCACACACAATTCCTAGCATCAGTGTCATGGAAGAAGAAAAAAATGTATGTGTGGGCCAAACCATTGCTGCATTATCACTAAAGGTTCTGTAAATTTAAACTTGGTGCAAGACATCTCAAAGGATTCCTTGCATTAACAGACTGTAAAAAGAGCAGGTTCACTACACTGCATTTCTACCTGTTGCTCTCTGTAATAAACTCTTCTTTCCAAAAACAAATTATCGGTAAAGTATTAAACTGTTGGACTTTAGAAAGCAATGGAAAAAAAGACTCACACAAACCTGTGCAGTGAGCATTCCCAAATCACTGCTGCGCTATCAGAAGGGCAAGCAAGATAGCAACTAATTAGGAGTTAGATGATTCTGGAACAAGCAACAATAAAAAAAATTACATTTGTAAAGCGCCTTTCACGTCGGGAGGATGTCCAAGGCGCTGGACAAACAAGAGTTTCAGACCCGAGCTGGGGGTCGGGGAGGGTGGAGGATGGGGAGGGGAGGGAAGCAGGGAGATCAAAAGCACAGTTGAAGAAAAGGGTCTTGAGATGGGTCTTGAAGGTGGCAAGGGAGGCGAGCAAGGCGGGGACGTGAAGCAGGCTGGAGCTTGCTGAGTGGAGGGAACAAGCAGGATGGTAGGGGGTAAGAAGGTCGCAAAGGTAGGGGGGAGCGAGACCATGGAGGGCTTTGAAGGTGAGGACCAGGATCTCGAACTGTATCCTGTGTGATGGGAAGCCAGTGGAGTTGGGCAAGGGTGGGGGTGATAAGGTCGTGGAGCCTAGTGCGGCATAGGACGCGGGCTGCAGAGTTCTGGATGATCTGCAGCCTGTGGAGGGAGGAGTTGGGGAGGCCGACAAGCAATGAGTTTGCATAGTCGAGCCTCGATGTAATGAAGGCATGTATGAGGGTTTTGGCAGCCTGCGGTGTGAGACAGTGGCGGAGCCGGACGATCTTGTAGAAGTGGGGGAAGACACAGCGGGTCATGGTGCAAATGTGGGGTAGAGGGATAATTGAGGGCCAAACAAGACGCCAAGGTTCCGGACTGGCTTAGTAAGGTGGAGTGTGCAACCATGGATGGTGATGCTATCAGCGCCTGAGGTGAGGAGGCACTGACCGGAGCCAATCAGGAGAGCCTCAGTCTTGTTGGAAGTTTAATTAAAGAAAGTTTGCTCTCATCCAGGACTTGATGTCTGACAAGACATTCTGTCAGGACAACAGTGGTCCTGGAGTCGAGGGTGGAGGCAGAGAGGTACAGTTGGGTGTCATCCGCATACATGTGGAAGTTGACCCCATGTCTGCGGACGATGTCACCAGGAGGGAGCATATAGATATTGAAGAGGAGGGGACCAAGGACAGAGTACTGAGGAACACCGCACGAGATGGTGCGGGGGCTAGATCTGCCGATGGACCATTAAGTTTGATTTAGGTTAGGTGCGCTCAGCGGCATGCACCTGTTCTTTAAAGGAGTGGAGGTGGTTGTTGTACCATGGTGACCTATGTGAATAGGAGACGGTTCCGGAAGAGAGGGGAGCAAGGGAATCGAGAGTGGAGCAGAGGGAGCTGTGGAGAAGAGTGACCGAGGAGGATAGGTCATTGTGGGAGGAAGCCCAGAGGGGAAGGAGTTCAGATGACTCCAAGGCAGCCGAGAGGGAGGGGTGGGAGATTTTTTTCCAGGGACGGTAGGAGATGGAGGTGGGCTGGGTAGCGGTGGGGAGAGGGATTGAGGAGTTAAGGGAGATAAAGTGATGGTCTGAGATCACTTTGTCGATGATGGTGAGGTCCGAGATGGTGAGGCCCCAAGTGATCACCAGGTCGAGGTGGTGACTGTGGCGTGGGTGGCGGAGTGGATATGGAGGGAGAGACTGAGGGAGGAAAAGTCAGCATAGGTAGAGCAGGAGGGAGTGAAGTGAAGATTGAAGTCGCCTAGGATGAGGAGGCGTTCGGAGCAGAGGGAGAGGGAAGATAGAAGGGTGGAGATGTCGGGGAGGGAGAGGACATGGGGGGGGGGGGGCGATAGGTCAGGAGACTTTTGAGGGAAAGGTTGGTTGAGAAAGCAGAGTGCAACTATAAGTCACCCTCGTGCACTTAACAATTGTCCAAAGAGCGCGTAAGCAAGATTTGGGCGCAATTCACCAGCAAACTGATCAATATATTACATTTTAATAAACAGAACATTAATTTTGTGTTGCGAGATAACATTTAACAGTCATCAGCAGCTTACAGTATTTCAGAATTTATTTACAGAGCAGCTTAAGGCTCCACCAGCAGCTGTGAGCTTCGCCTCAGCGGGAGCTTGTTCACCCGAGTCATAACTCACAGGTGCTGGTCTCGAAAGAACTGCTGCACCATCACTGATCAGCCTCGGTCACAAAAATAAAACGCTTCTCACAGAGATTCGAACTCATCATATAAAACATTTATTGGATCTCCTGATAATGTAACTACTGTGCAATTTCTATGTACGGGCAATGAATAGATTGCTAACCTCGCTTCCCTTCTCCAACCTGACTCGTGAGACTCACACTGCTGCTCATTCCAGCCCTTAACTGCCAAAAACATTCAGCTCTGCCGGTCTATTGACCCCCACCCCTGGCCCTCCACTCACTGACCCCCACCCCTCCACTGACCCCCATACCTGGCCCTCCACTGACCGCCCCCCCACTCCCACCCCTGCCCCTCCACTCACTGATGCCCACCCCGGCCCCTCCACTGAGCCCCACCCCTGCCCTTCCACTGACCCCCACCCCTGCCCCTCCACTCACTGACGCCCACCCCTGCCCCTCCACTGACCCCCACCCCTTCCCCTCACTGACCCCCACCTTGCCCCTCCACTCACTGACCCCACCCCTCACTGACCCCACCCCTGCCCTTCCACTGAACCCCCCACTCACTGATGCCCACCCTGCCCCTCCACTCACTGATGCCCACGTTCCCCTCCACTCACTGATGCCCATACTGCCCCTCCACTCACTGACCCCCACCCCTCACTGACCCCACCCCTGCCCTTCCACTGACCCCCCCTCACTGACACCCACCCCTGCCCCTCCACTCACTGACCCACCCTGCCCTCCACTGACCCCCCCACTCACTGACCCCCACCCTTCCACTGACCCCTCCACTCACTGACCCCACCCCTCCACTGACCCCCCCACACACTGACCCCCACCCTGCCCCTCCACTGACCCCCCCTACACACTGACCCCCACCCCTGCACCTCCACTGACCCCCCCACTCACTGACCCCCACCCCTGCCCCTCCACTCACTGACCCCCACCCCTGCCCCTCCACTCACTGACCCCCACCCCTGCCCCTCCACTCACTGACCCCCACCCCTGCCCCTCCACGCACTGACCCCCACCCTTCCACTGACCCCCCCACTGCCCCTCCACTCACCGAGCCCTCTGGTCGGGCTGGACTCCCGGCTCCTCACTCACTCACTCACTCACTCACTGACTGCCGGGAGTTCACAGTAAACTCTGTGCCGGTGGCGGGGCTGAGGGCTGGGGGTTGGGGGCTGAGGGCTGGGGGTTGGGGGCTGAGGGCTGGGGGTTGGGGGCTGAGGGCTGGGGGTTGGGGGTTGAGGGCTGGGGGTTGGGGGCTGAGGGCTGGGGGTTGGGGGTTGAGGGCTGGGGGTTGAGGGCTGGGGGCTGAGGGTTGAGGGCTGAGAGCTGGGGGTTGAGGGCTGGGGGTTGGGGGCTGGGGGCTGAGGGTTGGGGGCTGGGGGCTGAGGGTTGGGGGCTGAGGGCTGAGGGTTGGGGGCTGAGGGCTGGAGGTTGGGGGTTGAGGGCTGGGGGTTGGGGGCTGAGGGCTGAGGGTTGGGGGTTGAGGGTTGGGGGCTGAGGGCTGAGGGTTGGGGGCTGGGGGCTGAGGGCTGGGGGCTGAGGGTTGGGGGCTGAGGGCTGGAGGTTGGGGGTTGAGGGCTGGGGGTTGGGGGTTGGGGGTTGAGGGTTGGGGGTTGGGGGCTGAGGGCTGAGGGTTGGGGGTTGGGGGCTGAGGGTTGGGGGCTGAGGGTTGGGGGCTGGGGGTTGGGGGCTGGGGGTTGGGGCTGGGTGGTTGGGGGCTGGGGTTGGGGGCTGGGGCTGGGGGCTGAGGGTTGGGGGTTGGGGGCTGAGGGTTGGGGTTGGGGGTTGAGGGTTGGGGGTTGAGGGCTGAGGGCTGAGGGCTGGGGGTTGGGGGCTGAGGGTTGGGGGCTGAGGGTTGGGGCTGGGTTGGGGACTGAGGGCTGAGGGCTGGGGCTGAGGGCTGGGGGCTGGGGCTGGGGTTGGGGGTTGAGGGCTGAGGGTTGGGGGCTGAGGGCTGAGGGTTGGGGCTGGGGTTGAGGGTTGGGGGCTGAGGTTGAGGGTTGGGGGTTGGGGGCTGAGGGGGGGCTGGGGGCTGGGGGTTGAGGGTTGGGGGCTGAGGGTTGAGGGTTGGGGGTTGGGGGCTGAGGGGGGGCTGAGGGCTGGGGGTTGGGGGTTGGGGGCTGAGGGCTGGGGGTTGGGGGTTGAGGGCTGAGGGCTGGGGGTTGGGGGTTGAGGGTTGGGGGCTGAGGGTTGGGGGCTGAGGGCTGGGGGTTGGGGGCTGAGGGCTGGGGTTGGGGGCTGAGGGCTGGGGGCTGGGGGCTGAGGGTTGGGGGTTGGGGGCTGAGGGTTGGGGGCTGGGGGCTGAGGGTTGGGGGTTGGGGGCTGAGGGCTGGGGGTTGGGGGCTGAGGGCTGGGGGCTGAGGGCTGGGGGTTGGGGGCTGAGGGCTGGGGGCTGGGGGCTGAGGGTTGGGGGTTGGGGGCTGAGGGTTGGGGGCTGGGGGCTGAGGGTTGGGGGTTGGGGGCTGAGGGCTGGGGGTTGGGGGCTGAGGGCTGGGGGCTGGGGGTTGGGGGCTGAGGGCTGGGGGTCGGGTGTGTGGAGCTGTCCTGAGCCGCCGCCGCCGCTCTGACCGCTCCTCTCACAAGTTTACCCGCCGCCCGCCCCCGACCTCAAACTTGTGCCGCCGCAGACTCACCCTCCGCCTCTCGGCTGCCTGCGAGTGCGCGCGAGCTCTGAGGAGCTGCGGGAAGCGCTCCGCTCCGCTCCGCTGGTGTGCGGCTCCAGCCCACAGCCCACAGCCCGTCACTCGGATTACGTGGCACCAAGTCTGGCTGCGAGCAACAGGGGCTGGAGCCGTGGAGACAGCCCGCTCCCCCCCGCCGGCGGCTCGGCTTCCCACTCCCTCCAGCGCCCCCTGCCCGCGGGCAGACCTCCACACCACAGCCACATCTTCCTGCTCACTCCCCCCCCCCTCCCCCCACCACCTTCATCAGTTTGCTCTCTTAAATCCCTCACACTCAACAACAACAACAACAACATAGAGCGGCTTTCACGTCGGGAGGACGTCCCAAGGCGCTGGACAGTTGGGTCAGGACCCGAGCATTGGGGGGGGAAATGGTCAGGGTGAGTGGGGGGGGGGGGGGGGGGGGGAGGGAGGGAGCGCGAGGAGGGGGTAGAGAGTCACTTTCATTCCGACTCCTCCATTCATCGTCATCCACTCTTGCGTTCATCACGCGCTCACATCATCCTCACTCCCAAGTCCATCGCATCACTCTCGCCCCTTAAACGTCTTCCTAAACTTCAATGCTCATTTACAAATCTAACTCGTGACCCTCTTCCCTGAGGGGAGGGTCTCCTTGGACCCGTGCTGGCCCCAAGGTACAAGTAATTGGCAACAAAATGCCCGAATAGTCAATCCTCCGAGGCAGTCTTGGTAGTCGGATTCCTGTGCTGGACTGGTCCGCAGTACTCCAGGGCACCGATCGCTCTCTGTCACGTAATAGATTTCTCAAGTCTCAGACGTGTTCAATGACCCTCGCACACTCTGTCCCTCCTCGCCTCACATGTTTTTATCCTCTCTTCGCTCAGTCTACGGTCTCCCCCCAAATAGGATCCCTGCCCTCAGCCCCTTCAGCGACCTCTGGTCATGAAGCAAAACAGAGAGAGCTGGAAAAACTCAGCAGGTCAGGCAGCATCTATGGAGAAAGTGAGTCAACGTTTCGGGTCCACGACCCTTTGTCGGAACTGGGGCATGTCAGGAGGGAGAGGTTTTCAAGGAGAAGTTGAGGGGGGGAGGCAGGACGAGGAAGACAAAAAAAGAAGACAGAGAGAATGTGTTAGTTGATGGGTTAAAGGGGTGATAGTGGCATAAAACAAAAGTGGGGGTGGGTTGAAACAAAACTGGGGAGAAGAGGTGTTAATAGTGCAGAACAGGCAACACACCAGAGAGAGACAAAGAGTGTCTGGGGTGATGATTGTAATGATAACAGAAGATAACTCTTCTGGTAACAGAAAGAAGGGGAGTGGGGGGAGGTGAGCTTTTATGGTCTGAAGTGGCTGAAATTGATATCGAGTCTAGAGGGCTGTAGGGTCCCGAGCAGATAGATAAGATGATGTTCCTCAAGCTTTCACTGTGGATCATTGGAATAGTGTAGGAGACCATGGATGGAGAGGTCAGACTGCTCATGAAGAAGCATTCTTAGGAAGGAGGTGAGGCCTTGTCCTGCCTCACCTCCTTCCCAAGCAGATGTGCATGTAGGTAATGGATGCAGCATTTGCACCAGTTCTTTGCAGTTTTCTGCCTTGGTATCTTTCTCACTCACTTTTGACCTTCAACACACTTTTGACCTTTAGCTTTAACACACATAACACCTCTCTTTTCCAAGTACTGGAATCATTGTTACCTCCAAAAATAGCACGTAATGATAAACTTTAACAGGCCAAGTTCACTAAAACACCAATTAAGATAATTATTACAGGAAGGAAGTCATGTCTTGTTGACAATAAGAACTTTCACTCAGTATCTGTGATTTTCTCTTATGCTTTTATTCATTCCTATTTCCCTCGCTCTTTCATTTCTGTCGCACTTCATTCCTCTCCATTGTTTCTCACTCATGCATACGTTCCACTTAAATTGAACAGTAACAACTGAGAGGAACACAAATTGAGGCTTTAATGAGAGGTTGGAGTAATTTGAATAATCTAGACTGGTATAAATATTAATATACTATTAAAAAGACTCATTACTCTTTAATATTATGCAGCATTTTCATTTTATCAAGATATGTTCAGGACATGTTTTTGATAACATTACATGAAACAATTGGTTAAAAAGAACTCAAACAATATCGTGAGGAAAACAATTTTTTAAAACCTAATTGTCAAAAGGCAAGCTACCTTCAACGTGATCAGAGTACCAAGGATGAAAGATCACCAAATGTGCCAGAACTTCCTTGAAATCAAAAATCATAGAAATTTACAGTGCCGAAGGAGGCTACTTGGTCCATTGACTCTGTACCAGCTCTGAGCAAGCAGTTTGTGTAATCAAATGTTCATCTCGTTGAGCCAGTCCGGGAACCTTGGTGTTTTGTTTGACCCTCATCTGTACTTTCTAACCCACATCCGTGTCATGAGGTGCTCTGCCTTCCCCCACCTCCGCAACATCGTCTGGCTCTGCCACTGCCTCTTCCCTCAGCCCACCAAAACCCTCATTTACGCATTTATTACATCTAGGCTCGACTACACCAACTCTTTGTTGGCCGTCCCAACTGTTCCCTCCACAACCTGCAGATCATCCAGAACTCTGCAGCTCATGTACCTCTCCTGCACCAGGCTGTGACCCTATCACCCCCACCCTCGCCCGGCTCCACTAGCTCCCCATCCCGCAGAGGATAGAGTTCAAAATCCTCGTCTTCACCTTCAAAGCCCTCCACAGCCTTGCTCCTTTCTACCCGTGACCTGCTAACCCCATATCTTCCACTCCCTTCACTCAGTAGGTTTCGGCCTACTCCACATTCCATACCTGGCCCGCCCCAGCATCGGCAGTTGGGCCTTCAGCCTCCCTGTCCCCACCCGTTGGAACTCCCTTCTCCTCGCTACGTCCCTTGCTTCCTTCAAGGCACGTCTCAAAAACATCCTCTCCGACCGCGCCTTTGGTCACCCTCCTACTCCTAAAATCCCTGCCCTCCACCCCTCCTCATCCCAACACCCTGCTCGGGTTCAAATCCCTGACTGTCCAGCGCCTTGGGACATCCTCCCAACCTGAAATGTAATTTGTTGTTGTTGTTCATCAAAATGCAAGGAATGTTATTGTGTGGGGCGCACTCAACTTATTCCCATATATATTTCATGCATTTTAATGATTATTCATCTATTTTATTTTTCAGTTCAATTTCCTGCTCATATGAACATAGAATAAATTAGGTATGGTTGCAAGAAAGCTGGGCAATCTCCAAGTGGCCATGTCTGAGCAAAGAGAAGGAATATCAGCAAACAATGCACTAACTGAACCTAATCCTCTTGTTCAAATGTACATGTATATGTCAGGCCGCAGCAACAGGGTGGCCAAGGCTGTGGAGAGATCTGAACGTGAGGCTGTGGTGAGATTTGAATGCGAGGATGAGGATCTTGAAATTGATCCACTGGGGGTTGGGGAGCCAGTGAAACTGAGTGGGGGTGGGGGGGAGGGTGCAGGAGAAGATAAGGACTGCAATTACATAAATACCAATTGCATACTCCAGAGTCAAAACAGGAGTTGACTGTGGCAAGAGCAATGGATTCAAAACAGCAATAACCTGTTTCCCAAACTAATCTTCCTGCCTAAGCCTAAATCGCATAACACATCCACTCCGAGTCAACAGCAACAACTTGCATTTCTACAGCACCTTTCCCATGAGCAGCCTCTCGGAGGGCTGAACAGCGGTGTGCTTTGAGAAGTCAATCACAAAGTCACAACCCCTACTGACAAAAGCACAGGAAATGATCAAGGCGCCAAATTGATTTCCACAACCATGACTTACACTTGATCTAAACTAAGACTAAAATCTGATCTAAATGATAAATAACTAATCTTGATCTCATCTAAGAGGAAAACCTTATCTCAGCTATTATAATAATATCCTTCCATTTGATATAGCGCCTTATCAAGTCATTGAGAGATCTCAAAGCGCTTCACAGAAGATACTGTAGATTGAATGTACTATATTATGTCGGCAAAACGCAGCAGCCAACTGTGCACAGCAGTGTCCTACAAACAGTCGTGGATTGAGTGACCAAATCATTATTGCAAAAATATATATTTTTGAAGGGAAAGTGCTCTGCCAATTGACAAACAACCGGGTTCCTATTCACTGCGAGGTAAAGAGGTGTGTGGAGTAAGGAAACTTGCCCTATGTTTCTCCCGGCCGGGAATTGAACCCAGGTCCTCTCGCTTGCAAAAGTAAGAACAAATTACATTTGTATAGCGCCTTTCACGTCGGGAGGACATCCCGAGGCGCTGGACAGTCAGCGTTTCGGACCCGAGCTGAGGGCGGAGGGGGGGGGGGGGGGAGGAAGGTGACCTAAGGCACAGTCAAAGAGGAGGGTCTTGAAGGAGGCAAGAGAGGGGGAGAGGCAGAGGGAACTGCGGGATGGAGTTCCAGAGGGTTTTGGGCAGAGATGAAGACTAAAGTATCATTAAACTAAGAATAGCTAAAAGTTGATCTAAACTGAGTCGAAGTAAACTTGACCCGAGCGGGTGGCCCGAGCCCCTCCGCCCGCTGGCTCAGGGCCCGCTGCGCGCGCAGCACCGGAGCGTCCGTTGGTCTCGCGGCTTGGTTGGCGCCCTGTTTGAATGGCGGAAGTGACGTCGGCCGGCGGCGGCGGAGGGCGAAGATGTTCGGTTATTGAAGGTCCGCCGGTCCCGGTGCGCGTTTGTGTGCCATAGCGAGCGACCAAAATACAGCCACCGCGTGTGTAGAGCAGTGAGCGACGTACAGCCACCGTGTGTGTACAGTAGTGAGCGACGTACAGCCACCGTGTGCGTGCAGCAGTGAGCGACGTACAGCCATCGTGTGTGTACGGTAGTGAGCGACGTACAGCCACCGTGTGTGTGTGTGTGTGTACACAGTGAGCGAGGACACAGTACCTTTCTGTACACGCACAGAGTGTGTGTACAGCACAGCGCCGGTGGGCTCCGCGCGTGTCCTGCGCTGTGAGACGGGAAGGTGGACAACGGCCGGGGCCTGGGTCAGGCCGCAGGGGCCACCAGGGCCGGCACTGGGCCCTCCGGGTCACTTGACCTGCACCTGTTCCTTCACGTGAGTGCTGTGCCTGTGTCCTCCTTCTGACAAACCTGTGTTGTTCACTATCCAAATTTACGTTTAGATAAAAACCTCTGTTCGGAGATAAAGGGCATTGCTTCTTCGGCGGTTTGGTTAATGCTGATTTGAAGAGCCGAGGTGGTGCATCACGAGGGGCTGTTGTTCGTTGGATACCATGTCAAATGGTATCCGTGGCCACGTGTGCATTACATGTTCTGGGTTGCTGGTGGACCTGCTAAAATATCAAACTGATAGTTTCAGAAAGACCCCATCGAAACCTTTATTATCCTCGCTACGCCCCCAACATGTCCCACTGCTGACGAAGTGGACCGCGGACCCGAAACGTTTTACTCACTTTCCTTTCCCCGTCGATGCCGCCTGACCTGCTGAGTGTTCCCAGCGACGCCTGTTTTTGCGGCAGGGTGTCGGGCTGGATCGGTGGGATTCTTCAGTTGGAACAACTGGTGAAAAGGTTGTACTCCGGCAGTGTTTGAGGCAGTTTGAGGTCAGGCAGGTGGGTTTACCTGGGGTTAGGTTCCACTATATATAGCTTACAAACAAAAATAATTTAGATTTCTTCCATTTGATGTCGCACTTGTGTTGTTGAACCGTCTCAAAGCGCTTCATAGGATATACTGAAATTGTAGTTCCAAACGTGGAAGCCAATTTGTGCACAGCGATGTCCTAGACACAGGCATTGAGTGAATAAGCAGTTCTGTCTGGAGGATTGTCAGCCGGGACATTGAAAAGCTCGAAAAAAGTGCAAGTGGACCATGAAGGCACTTTGAGCTAGTCAGTGAACCTCAACACATTTCATTTTTCTGTGAATTTACAAAATCTTTCAATCATTTCTTTTTGGTCAGTTGGGTGTTGACATGTGGAAACCCATCACTGTGCTTAAGAGTATCCAGACCAAGAGTTCCACCTATTTATGCCATCTATACACATAAATTTCCCAATGTCTGGAATGGAATGCAGACTCTCCTGCTTACCTAATTATGGGATTATATTATATGCAGGATGGCTTGGGACCCCAGCCTGTGCGTTGGAGTATTGCTGGAGTTTAATCAGATAAAACTCCATGGCTTGCCATTGTTTGGCATGCTTCCCATAGCTTGTCTATCTTGGACTATAATCCCATTTGGGTTTTGATTTGTAGGGTTAGCAATACAATGGAAATTTACAGAAGTACCTTTCCCATCAGGAGTACATCCCAAGGCACTTAACAGTATTGAAGATGATCGAAAGTGCAGTCAAAGAGGTAGGTCTTGAGAATGACCTTGTATGAGATGATGGAGGGAGTCTGAGGGACTCTGGGATGAAGTTCCAGAGAGTGGGGGCAGAAAGCTAGTAGCTTGCCCGCTGATAACAGGGCTGGGGATATGAGCCAGGCTGTGCTTGCTGAGCAAAAAATACGTTGGGTCAGTTGGGTTTGAGGAGGTTGCAGAGGTAGGGTAGGGCGAGACTATTGAAGGAATTAACGGTGAATACAAGGAACTGTTAAAAAAAAACTTCTGAACATAAGTCACAGGTAGATTTGGTTACAAAATCATTTCTGTTTTTTACCTTCAGTCACAAGGATGAAAAGAAAAGTGGCCAAAGTGGGTGGACTTCGCCTTAGTCCGAATGAAGAGAGCATTTTGATAAAGGAGGAGCTTGAAAGAAGAAGGAAACTAAGGTTAAAACAGGTATGCTCAGTGTAGCACCATTCTTGGCAAAAGTGTTTCATTTGTTAGAAATTAGTGATTAGTATTATTCCCCAGGAGCTTCAAGTTATTTCCTTTGTATAGCTGCAGCATAATTTATGCTTTAGTGAATTGTATCAGTCTGGCTCAGTGGTGGCACTCGCCTGAGTCAGAAGGTTGTGGGTTCAAGCCCCACATCAGGACTTGGAATCACATAATCTAAGCCAGTATTAGACACAGGTTGGCAAGAGCAAAGACTTGGGGACCACAGAGTGTGCGTAGGGGGTACTGCTGGAATCTAGCCAGCTAAAACCGCATAGCTTGCCATTGATATCGCTGTCTGGCAAGGTTTCTCACTGTTTGTCCAGCTAGGACTCCCCTACTCATTAGGGATCTGGCTTGCGGGGCTAACAGGAGCTGAGTGGGATGACTCCCTGCCCCCAATGACTGCTCTGTCCTACCAGGTCCTGCCAGTGAGCCGGGCTGGCTGTACTGTCATCAACGATGCCCTGGAATACTGCAGACCCGCCTGGCTCAGGAATCGGACTACCAAGAACGCCACATTCACCTGAAACCTGTTTCTTGATGTTTGAAAAAATATTTTTTGCTTACAAATAAGTCTCAACCATAATTTAAAGCATAGTGTTTTGAGACTTAATGATTTAGTTAATTAATAATCCTTATTTGATATACCGCCTTCCATGTCAGGAGGATTTCTCACTGCCTCTCACAAGATTTTCTGTAAACTTGTCTGAAGACACAAAATTTTCTGTAATCCTTATTCTTTGACCTTGTCTATGGTAACCTCCTCCTCCCCCCCCGGTTCGGTGTCATGCTCCACGACCGTCAAGAGCTCTGGATGCTACCCTGCGTAAGGTATGCTATATAAATGCAAGTTGTTGTAAAGCATGCTGATGTTGCATTGTGTGAACTTAAGGGGCTATAAAAAAAATCATGTTTATCCCAAATTTAGAGTGTTTCAATCTAATAAAGTGAAGTGACAATAATTGGTTCAGCGCCTTGGAATGTCCTCCCAACGTGGAAGGCGCTATACAAATAAGGCGCTATGTAATTTTGTTGTTGTTGGTTGGAGAAACTGTTATTGCGATCTTTTTTCTGTGAGTTTGCTGCAGGTCAGAGAACAGGAACGTTGCATTGCTCTACAGATCCGTGAGGAAGTAAAACAGCGTCGTAATCAGCAACTCGAACTGTTGGCAGATGAATTGAAGGCTGAATGGCGTAAGGCACAGGTTGAGAAAGCGAAGACCCTGGAAAACCTCTATCTGTGTAGTTTAAAGGCAGTGGGAGATGGGCACAGACAAGCTAAAGAAAATGTAAGTATATGTTAGGTTTTGTATTGTGCAAATTTTCAGGGAATTAAATGGCTGCACTGAGAAACATAACTTGGTAGTACATTTAGATATCAGTTAGTTTTTTAAATTTTGCATTTTAAATCCAACTTACTGCTACGTACATCAGTTATTCGTCTCTATGGTGAATGATCTGCTCCAGTGTGTATTAATTGACAGCTGCAGGGAGGGGACAATGACGACAAGACTAACTTTCAATAAATTTCTTCCTTCCTGGCTGAAGAAGATTTTGTTCCTATGGCACAGCTAAAATCAGGAATTCCGAGAATAACCCCACTTGTGGCACACCAAGTTAATCACCACTGATGACCATTAATATAGAAAAAGCGAAGGTGGCCAAGATCTTGCAGATTTCTAGATAGGGAATGAACTTAGGCTGATCACTGACAAAAATATCAATACAGAAAAATGCAAGGTATTCTGTATATAGGAGTCGCATTCACTCCATGGATGGAAAAGAACTTGATAAGAAAACAATTTGCAGATCTAAGGAGGTTACTTGACTTGTCACCTAGTTGATTCAACACTGTCCAATCCAAATATAGTGAAATTCAGTAAATTGCATATTGTTTAATTGAATAGTTCAGATAATTGAATGGAATTTAGAAAGAAACGATTTCCACGCTTAATCTAAGAATATAGGTTAGTTAATTGAATACCGATATACGAATAATTTGGTTTATTGAATATTTTTTTCCATGACCATTCATATAAAAAACAATCCGAGTTTGATAAATGTAGAGTCCCAAATTACTCTCTTCTGTAGTACAGCGTAAGTGATGTCGGTGTCCTCTTCCCCCTTCACCTCCCCTCAACACGGAGGTGTACTGTAATGGACTAACTTAAGCTGTAGCCGTTTAGACTCAAAGGTGCTGAACGTAACTGTAAATTTTGAATAATACTTCCAGATGCACCAAAGCATCATGATAATCAAGAGGGGGAAAAATGAGAGGGCCTGAGAAAGTCAATTTTGGACATGCACCAGCGAGCATTTCTTTCAGTAGCTGGAACGGATTGCTAGGATGGTTGAGGCTGGTGTGATCTTGCTGCCTTGGTTAATGAACGTTTAATTTTCCATTCTATCAATATTCAAACCATCCCACTTGATGGTAACTGTTCCAAGCAGGTTCTCTGAACTTCCTTGATTCTTCAAATGAGACCTATTGATGGAAATTTTGGCGTTCTTTTGAAACAATTTGAAACATGTTTCCATGTTTATTTAGGAATCTATATTTCACACTGAATATAGATTCCTAAATAAACATGGGCCAATAGAAAATTGAGGAAATGTTTGCCGAAAATTGCGGGATGTGCCAGAGTTGCTGCGGAATTTGAAAACAACTGCAGAAAATTGCGGAGTGGTTGATTGGTGTTATTGAGAGATGCATTTTGCAGCTAACCTACTTTTTTTAGTTAATTGATTAAAAGCTAAACATCATAGATTGTTGGGGATAAAACCTATTTATTAATCTTTTCTTTAACAAAAAATGAACATAAAACCTTTCAAAAGTGCAGTTTCAACACAGTTTGCAGAGAACTAAAATTTTCAAAATCAAATTTTCACAGAAACAAACAAAAAATTCTCAGCCAAAAGTTTAGTCCTGGTTAAGGTTTAACATGAGAAGAATCTTAACATTGGCTTAACATTAGGCTTCATCTAATCGTCTTTCAAAAGGTCTGAATAAACGGAAAATAACCTTTCCACGTCAGCGGTGTTCACTGGTAGCCAAATGTACTTCTTTGCAGTTTTAGCAAGTTTCACAAGTGGCTGAGGCTGAGCTCCCCACCATGCTGCTATGTTGCATTTAGCTGGGGTAGTTCCTGCAGCTGCTTTGTAAGCATGCCATTCAAAGTTTGAAACAGCCGAAACAACAACTTTCATTTACATAGCGCCACCCCCCCCAGATCGCTTGACAGTGGCGGAGCACAACGCTGAGCTGGGGGGAGGGGGGGATGATCTTAGGCACGGTCGAATAGGAAGGAAGAGGCAAGACGGAGGGATAGAGGAAGAGTGTTCCAGAGTTTTAGACGTGGTGGCTGAAAGCGTGGCCACCGATGGAGGAATGGAGACCACGAGAGACATGCAAAAGGCCAGCCGAGCGGAGGCAGTGAGTAGTGGGTTGGGGGGGGTAAGCAGGTCGGAGAGGTAGGGAGGTGCCCAGGGCATGAAGGGATTTGAAAACTAGTGTGAGGATCTTGGCATTGATCCGTTCTGCAATGGGGAGCCAGTAGAGCCTGGCTAGAACTGGTGCGATGGGGTACGGAGTTTAGTGAACTGATGTGTCTTTTTTGCATCCAATGTTGCCAGCTGGTGAGGATCAAAAACATGAGCTGCTTTACAGGTGCAATTGATGGGTGATTTTTTTTTCAAAATCAGTCCTAACTTTTCACTAAACCTTACTAAGCCAGTCCGGAATCTTGGGGCCTTGTTTGACTCTCAACTATCCTTTCTACCCCACATCTTGCCATGACCCTCTCTGCCTTCGCCCAGCTCTGCAACATCGCTTGGTTTCGCCAATGTCTCACTCCGCAGGCCACCGAAACCCTCATACACACTTTCATTACATCGAGGCTTGACTATGCAAACTCATTGCTTGTCGGCCTCCCCAACTCCTACCTCCATAGGCTGCAGATCATCCAGAACTCTGCAGCCTATGTCCTCTCCCCACCAGGCTCCGTGACCCTATCACCCCATCTTTGCCCGACTCCACTGGCTTCCCATCACACAGAGGATACAGTTCAAGATCCTGGTCTTCACCTTCAAACAAAGCCCCCCGTGGTCTTGCTCCCCCCTAACTCTGGAACTTCCTAACCCCCTACCATCCTGCTCACTCCCTCCACTCAGCCTCCTCCGGCCTGCTTCACATCCCCCGCCTTGCTCGCCCCACTGTTGGCGGGCGGGCCTTCTGCCACTCTGCCCCCACCCTTGTCTCCTTCAGGACCCACCTCAAGACCCTCTTCTTCTACTGTGCTTTCGATCACCCTGCTTCCCCCGCCCTCTGCCCTCCACCCTCCCCGATTTCGACCCTCAGCTCGGGTCCAAAATTCTGTCTGTCCAGTGCCTCAGGGCATCCTCCTGACGTGAAAGGCGCTATACAAATGTAATTGGTGGTGGCGGTGTTGTTCACTACAGTCTTGCATGATTCTCGGGAAAAGGTTGACACATCTCTCTCTCACTATCAGAGCAGGCTGCCAACCTTTGGACTTTGGTCTGTACTCCTGTGTCCCAGCAATGGCACAGAAATCAGTAAACAAGATTTGTAAGATTTGAACCTGCAAGTACAGATTGTGGCCTTGAGGCACAGCTATTGCCTGACATTCTTCAATGAGTTTTATGAGCTTAGATGGGTGCTTTGTCACAAAAGTTGCTTGGGTTTACATCTCTGCAGCGTTATTGTACAGGAGCATTTTCAGGTTTTTCACTGCTTTAGGCGTTTTTCCTTGCAGAAATTCAACCAAGAGAGGTAAATAGTCATACAAATATTCCACAGCCTTCATTTAGGAGCATTAACACGTCTGAACAGCAAAGACTGGCATCTGTGGTTTAATTCCATCCTTTGGCTCCATAAATCACTGGATTTACAGGAGGATTTGGACATTTTTGTATTGTACAACCTAAAAAGTGAAACTTATTAATTTGAATAGTATTTGTTGCAGGAGCTCAGTTTAGGCTGGGTGTCGAGCAAACGGACAGCAATAGTATGACATAGTTGGTGTTTCTATCGGGATTCACTCACTAGTGAAGCTGATTTCCCACTTTTGCGTTGCCAACACCTCCCACCCCCTGCACACGCAACCGAAGCCGCTCCGCCCACGATACAGTGTCAAGCAAACAGCGCAGAGGCCTGGGGCCTAGTACACTGTTTGTACAGGTTTGTGGAGGAGGAGGGCGTTTGTAGTGGATTCTGTGGGGAAAAGTGCAGCTGTGCTTTTCTACTGGGCCAAGTTTTTGCCTGGGCCAATAGAAAAATGGGGAAATATTTGCCAAAACTTGCAGGGAAATTTTGCAGAAGATTGCGGTGAAATTTGATAAGTTTTCCGGCAAATTGCAGTGGGTTCATTGGTGCTATGGAGGTACATTTTACTGCAAACCTACCTTTTTTCACTTTATTGATCAAAACTAAATATTGTTACAAAAAAATTAATTTCTTTAACCAAAACTGGATGGTCCATTTGGGGATGGGGGAGGGAAGGATACAACATCGCAGGTCCAAAGGGCCTGGAGATCCGCCAAAAAAGACACCAGTGTCCTGACTGCTGGGTTACAGGAGCTCACCATCTCCTGCCTCGAAGGGTCCGGAGACAGACAGAGAGAGACACACACACTCACATTCTGAGAGAGTCACACACACTCAGGCACAAAGAGATATATACACACACACACAGGGAAGAGAGAGACACACAGAGACACTCACAAACAGACACCCTCACATAGACACTCACAGACACACAGAATGAGAAAGAGACACGGACAATCTCAACAGCGGGGCCTCCGTGGAGTGAAGCCTATTTGCCGCTTGTGCTGCATCGCGCAAGCGCATCCGGAGCAGCCCGACCACAATTGCGTTGGATAACAGCATGAGAGGCCCAGGCCCGAAACTTTGTCTTTAGTGGGTTTACAGTGAGGGCGCTATTAATAACAGATTGCAGACACTTCTATTGGCCCAGGCTATTACTTATTACACTGCTATTGTCAATTCCAGGTTAACTTTCAATTCCCTTTGGGTTTAGCAGCTTTTAGCAAATCCACAGGGAGGTCCTCTTGGTTCTTATGGATAACAGATCAGACTCACTAATTATGGATTAACTACTGAAGAAGACTAGGAATTGTGAGAGTCGCGATTCTGGGGCATGATGTATTTCACAAGGGAGAAATATATCTTTTGATGCAATTGTCAATTTTTCACAGAATCCCTGACTCCTAATTTCAATGATTTCATGGTTTCACAGTTTTACTGAAAATTTCAGGGATTTTGCAAAATCCCTGGTTTCACAACTTTACTGAAACATATATACCGTTTTTAATGTTTTGCAACAAGTACTGGAATACAAGTGCAGATTAATGAATGGGTATTATAACCAGCTTCTGTTTTTTTTAGAAAAATATTCTTGGTTTTAAGTCTTTTTATAAAGTGTAATATTTTATATATTCTGTTGACAGTTGAGTGTTTTATGCATGAATTGAAGATTTTATCCTGAGCCTGTTTTACAACAACAACAAGATTCCATTTATTGAGCGCCTTTCACGTCGGGAGGACGTCCCAAGGCGCTGTACAGTTGGGTTAGGACCCGAGCAGGGGGGAAATGGTCAGGGTGAGGGGAGGGAAAGGAGGGAGCGAGGAGGGGGGGGAATGGTCAGGGTGAGGGGAGGGAAGGGAGGGAGCGAGGAGGGGGTAGAGAGTCGAGAGGAGAGCTGAAGGCACGGTCAAAGAAAAAGGTCTTGAGACCGGCCTTGAAGGAGGAAAGGGAGGAGGCGGCGAAGGCACTGGGGGATAGAGTTCCAGAGCCTCGGGGCTGTTTTAAACTACATATTTGCTTTCTGAAGCTTCAACTAATCCACAGCTCTGCATCCTGATTTTCTTTTGAGTGCAAGTCTCCTCACACTCATTACCCTCTGTTTGCCAAGCTCTATTGGGTCCTATTAGTGGAGTCCTGTAGCTCAGTGGTTAGAGCACTCGCTTTGCAAGTGAGAGACCTGAGTTCAATTCCAGGCAGGGCGAAACCTTGGGCAAGTTTCCTTACTCCACACTCCTAATAATAATCCCTCCAAAACTAAAAACAATAATTAAATTGGTCATTTTCAATCTACGACTGTTTGTGGGACATTGCTGTGCGCAATTGGCTGCCGCGTTCGCCCACAAATATACAGTCAATTCACTTTACAGTGTGTTCTGTGAAGCGCTTTGGGATGTCCTCCCGACGTGAAAAGCGCTATATCAAATGCAAGGATTATTATTATTATTATTATTATTATTATTTTAGAGGAGGATGGTCCAACCTTTTGAGAGTGAGGGGGGAGAGGGGTAAATGTGAGAGAGATGGGGAGAAAAAGAGGGAGATTAAGAGGGGCTAGAGAGTGTGTGTGGGAGAGATGGGGAGTGTGAGAGAGTAATTGAGAGAGTGTGAAAGAGAGTGATTGATCTCTTTCTCCCCCCCACCTCCCCCCCAATTTGCAGGAGCCAGATCTGGAGACTTTCACCAAACAAGCAGCTGTGAATCAACAAAAGGCTGAGAAAAGATGCAGAGAAGCACTAAGGGAACTGAAACTGATGAGAGAAAAGGAGTTTGAAGAACAAAGCAGGTAAGCCACAATTTGTGTTCCCTAAACCCTGAATCTTTACTACGCCAAGGAGATTACAATGATTTGTCAATCAGATATTTGTTCCTGGTTTATATTTTTGAAAAAAGTTTCTTCAAACTTCTGACTGAATTCTTTATTTGAATAGTAAGTTAGCATTTATCTGCAAACTGGTGCATGTGGCAATGCTATATATGTTAAATATGCTAATGAAAATAGTAACCTCTTTGATTAGATATTGTGAAATAGATATTGTTAAGTGTCTGTTGCAGAGAACTTCCATATTTTAATGCAGCTTCCTTGATTGCTCAACAATTGTAAACTATGGATAACTTGACCCTGGATTAACTTGTCACTACCACATGTCATCATTCTGACAGTATCCTAGCCGCATTCATTTTGGCCTTGCCCCTTCCTACCTCTGTGACCTCCTAAACCCATATCAACCTGCCCGCACCTTCCGTTCAGCAGGCTCCACATTTCCCACCTCATTCAAGGCATGTCTCAAGACCCTCTTCTTCGACCGTGCCTTTTGTCCATCCTCTCTGCCCTCCATCCTCCCTGATCCCAAACCACCTCTGTTCGGGTCCAAATCTCTGACTGTCCAGTGCCTTGGGATACCCTCCTGACTTGAAAGGCGCTATCATAAATGTAATTTTGTATTGTATGTATTTATACATGTGTCTAACTCACCACTCCAGAAAACTGATCGCTGAAAGCTTTTCCCTTGGAGTAATGAGTTATCAGGAGTTTACTGGACTTTCTTTGGTAAATTAACTGAGCAACATGAACATGGAGGTGTCAGGCTTTATTTCTTCCAGAAATAGCTGGTCTCAACACTGGCTTTAAGAGGGGCAGGTGAGTCACAGATTGTGTTCTTGATTGCAACCCATGCACAAAGATACAAGGTGAAGGGAGACTGATCTCAACTGCTATGATCACTGCAGTTTAATAGTCTGCTGACATTCACTGTCTGGTCTCGTATACCAAGAATACTTGAATTTATGTAGTGCCCTTCACGTCCTCGAGATAGCATCTTTGAGAGCTGCATAGTGGCTGGGTTGGACTCTGAGGGAGGGGAAGGTGACCTACGCCTTGGTTAAAGAGGCGGGTCTTAAGGTGGGATTTCAGAAAATGCACAAAATGAACCAGGAAACTATTACAATGGTTAACAATTTGAAAAGCAAGTGAGCCCTGTGTTTCTACAGACCAGTGCTTGTATTCGGCCAGGTATATAGAGCATTGTGTGACACCTGCCTGATCTGGGAGGTGATATTGAATGAGCTCTATAGGGCACTGAATTTGAGAACCAAGGTTGGATTGTCTTCAAACCTCATGGTGTTGTTGCAGTTCAAAAGTGAGATCCTCAGTTTTCATGGAGCGTATTTGAATCAGGTTGTGGGTGAAGGATTTGTTCAATTTTAAGCCACTGAAATCAGTGAGATTTTCTGGTCTATAGCTGGGTACTAGAACTTGTTCAATTACTTATATTGTAAGTATAGTTTCAACTACAAAAATCCTTGAAATCTGTTTCTCGTGGATTTGCATTTTTTTTGTAATGCAGATGCGTTCAAGCTCGCAAGAAGGCACTCATTGTAGAAAAAGAAAGAGCAATGAAGATTGCACATCTTCCACCACCTCCACCGGATCCTCTTGCTGTAAGTACATTTATGAAAAGTGTGGAATCCCATAGTGTAGTGGTTATTGCACTCGACTTGCAAGTTGAGAGGATCCGGGTTTGATTCCAGGCAGGATGAAACCTTAGGTAAGTTTCCTTATTCCACATAATTCTTGTTTACCTGTAAGTAGGAACTCGGTTGTTAGGCGATTGGTGGATCGCTTACTGGGGGTAATAATCGCTCAAGAGAAAAATGTTTTTGGTCACTCAGTCCACGACTGCTTGTTGGACATTGCTGTGCACAATTGGCAACTGCGTTTCACCCACAAAATACACAGTCGATCCACTTTACAATATATTCTGTGAAGTGCTTTGAGACTTCTCAATGACTTGATACTGCACTATATCAAATGCAAGGATTATTATATTTAGTATAAAACAATATATTCATCAGTTTAAGTTAGCCATGCTTTTTGATTTGAAATTTGTTTACCAAATTCAAACATATTATGGCCTAAAATGCAGGATTTCTAAATCGATAATTTAATGAAGTATCTGAGTTGCATAGAACTATATAGACTACAACATGGGAACAGATCATTTGACCTAACTAGTCCGTGGCATTGTTCATATTCCCTCATCAGGCCCCACTCTTCCTAATCCTATCTCCCATATTGTTCTATTCCCTTCTCCCACATGTACAAAGGAGAATTCTACAGTAGCCAGAAGTATTAATACTAACCTGGAGGAACTTTGAATCAATATAATAATAGTAATCCTTACATTTGATGTAGGGCTTTTCACGTCTTCTAAACGTCTCAAAGCGCTTCACAGAATATACTGAATATACTGAATTGACTGTATATTTGTTGGCAAAGCGCGGCAGCCAATTGCACACAGAAGTGTCCCGCAAACGGTCGTGGATTGAGTGACCAAATTATTATTGTTTTTTTGGAGGGATTATTATCCCTGGAAAAGCGATCCGCCAATCGACTAACAACTGGGTTCCTACTTACTGCTAGGTAAACAGAGGCATGTGGAGAAAGGAAATTTGCCCAACATTTTGCCCAATATAATCTTTTGAACTAGTTGCTATGGTAGGAATTTCAATTCTTTTGTATTGCATTTTGGACCCAAAGTTATGGAGCAGAGAGTCACATTTGAATGTATTTATCCAAAGCAACAGTGTCATATTAGAAAAAAATCATGCAACAAAACTGATATACTGCAACAAAATGATCTCAACAACTTTAATAACTTGCTTCAGTCAGCTTTCAATACACAGCCATTAACTTTGGAGACATTCACATGAACTTGTGTGGAATAACAAAAAGACTGAAATGATTTGTATACCGTAACCATGTGGAATGAATGCAATTTCCCTTTTTCCACAAATTGGACAGGAATCTTGATGCAAATACAGGCACTTTAATGATTAAGATGGTGGAATTTGTTTTGTGCTTGGGATGAGGGGAAATTTAAATTTGAGGATCTGGCTTTTTTATAGTTTCAGCTATAAATGTGTTGTTGTAGTGACATGGCATGGTAAAGTACTCAACCTTGTGAACTAATGTTGGACATCACTCCAAGAGTCTTTTGAAATGGATGAGTTTGGAATTGTTTAAAGCTCCGACCTTGCTTCCATGATTACTAGTTTAGTGTACAAGTAGAATTCATCAAATGAATTGAGTGTCTTTTTTTCTATCGACAACAACTTGGATTTATATAGCGCCCTCCATGCCGGATGGCGTCTCAGGGCGCTTTACAGTTTAGGATCCCAGGACCGAGCCAGGGGGAGGGTGTGGGGAAGGTGACCAAAGGCGCGGTCGAAAAGAAAGGTCTTCAGCAGAGACATGAAAATGGGAAGGGAGGGAGAGAGATGGAAGTGAGTGAGGAAGGCAGTTCCAGAGCCTCGGGGCATGGTGGCTGAAGGCACAGCCGCCGAGGGTGGAGCAGAGGACTTGGGGGACAAGGAGGAGGCCAGACCCGGAGGAACGAAGGCACCGGGTACTGTGCTGAGGAGAGAGGAGGTCAGAGATGTAGGGTGGTGCAGAGGGAGTGCAGGGACTTGAATACGAGGTGAGGATCTTGAAATCGAACAATATACAAATTGGATTCCTCCATCACTCACTTCTTTCTCCACTCAGCTCATTCAAAACTCTGCAGCCCATATTCTCTTACGCATTACCTTTGCATGCCGTTACTCCGGTTGTCACCAGACTCCACTGGCATTATTATTATTAATAACATGTTTTGCAGACCTGTTTGCATTTTAATTTGATATTGTTATCAAAAGGCATAGCAATTGTGATCTATTATGAAAATCCTCGGAACATTTTGTGTAATTTCTCTGAATATATAATGTGCAAAACAATTGATCATTGTGTTCAGTTTCTTTTATGTCTTCATGATATTCTGTATCCTGAGCATGTAGCTGAATAGAATGATATGCACCTGGAATACTTTGTAGAATTCAATTACAATGAATAACCCATTAAACATTTTTGCGCATTAATTGTGATTCAGATAGCAGTGTAGCAGACTTAAGGGATGCATTTAATTGCAGAGTATAATAAAAAAAACAATTATCCATTTAGAGCTGTATCTTATGGAATAGCAAATGCATTTTCTTGAATTTTCACTCATTTAAATTTGGTTCACTTCAGCTGAATCTACAGAACTAAAAGTTGGTGTAAAGCAAAGTTATTTGAAATGAAAAATAATATATTTGATTAAGGGATGGATGGATGACTGCTGATTTATAAAGTTCCATGCTTTTTTGTTGTAGGAACTTGATGTTTCAAAATGCCCTGTAGTGAAGATGCACGATGTGGACAGCTTCTCTGTGACACACTATCATTTGCCTGAGCCTTGTGTGGATAGGGAAATGAATACAGAACAGGTAACTCAATGAGTAGGAATTTATGAAATGCAAACCAATGTGGCTTACCATCATTTTATCAATATTCCATGGACAAATGCTTGATTTGCCCATTTCCAGTAACTATTTAGAAAATGGAAACCATTTTTTAAAATAGTACAGTGAAACTTGAATATGTCTTATCTGTATTAATGGTATAATTATTGTACATCCACCCATGTCCCGTTCAATTTCCTATTAAATCCACTTATATTTATCCGCACCAGTCGTATTAACCCCCGCATAACTTGTAACACCACGACTGCACTTACCGCTTCTGCACTTACCCAATGAAGCTTTGATTCCCAAACCTGCCTCAAACAGAACACCACACAAGAGCACCCCAATGCTCTCCGCACCCTTCCTGCTGGGGACATAACATCAACGTTATCATGCACAATGGGATTGGGGTGGGTGGGTATGGGCTGAGAGAGGAAAGAGTATTACACAGCGATTGAGGGAGTGAGATGCCTGATCATGTGAAGAGCAAAGGGGACTTGTCACCACATGCCTACTTATCGGTCTTGAGTAGCCTAAAAGTGCTTCCTGTGAAACAATTACCGGCTGCAATGCTAAAAGACTACATGCACAGTACAGAAAAGTGAACAAGTAGAGAACACGAGGGTTAGACCAGTCATTATGGGATTAGATAAATTTATATTATAAATTAGCACAAATTAAGTTCCTATTGTATTAAAACAGTTCTGTTTTGAAGCCTGTGGTTGTGCCATTCAATGTACAGTGCATGTTTTCTGCACGTGAGGTACAGTGCTGTGCAGTACTGTATATGGAAACAATGGGCTACCATTTAATATGTATGGGTTAAATATGGTGCAGAAACCTTGCCTTAATGTCACCAGCACTTGTACAGAACAGTAAGACCATAAAACGTAGGAGCAGAAATAGGTCATTTGGCCCCTTGAGCCTGCCCTGCCATTTAATAAGATCATGGCTGATCTTCTAATCTAATTCCATTTACCTGCCCTATCCCCATATCCCTTAATTCTCCTATCCTTTAGAAATCTATCAACCTCAGTCTTGAATATGTTCAAGGACTGAGCATCCACGGCCTTTTGGGGTAGAGAATTCCACAAATTCACTACCCTCTGAGTGAAGAAATGTTTCTTCAACTCAATTCGAAAAGGCTGACCCTTAATCTTGAGACTATGATCCCTAGTTTTAGATTCTCCAACCAGGGAAAACTGTCTCACAGCATCTACCCTGTCAAGACCCTTAAGAATCTTATGGGTTTCTACAAGATCACCTGTAATTCTTCTATATTCTAGAGACTATAGGCTTAGTTTACTCAACCTATCCTTATAGGTCAACCCCCTCATCCCAGGAAGCAATCTAGTGAATCTACCCTGCACCCCCTTCTCAGGCGAGTATGTCCTTTCTTAAATAGGGAGACCAAAACTGCACACAATATTCTAGGTGTGGTCTCACCAAGGCATTATACAACTGCAGCAAGATTTCCCTACTCTTGTACTCTAACCCTTTTGCAATGAACACCAACATGGCATTAGCCTTCTTGGTTGCTTGCTGTACCAGCATACTAACTTTTTGTGACTGGTGTACAACGACACCCAAATCCCTCTAAACACTAACACTACCTAGTCTCTGCCCCTCTAGAAAATAATCCGCTTTTCTATTTTTACTACCTAGGTGAATAACTTCATGCTTCCCCACGTTATACTCCATTTGCCACCTTCTTGCCCACTCACTTAGCCTGTCTATTTCCCTTTGCATTCTTCGTGTGTCATCCTCACAGCTTACTCTCCCACCTGTCTTCATATCGTCCGTGAATTTAGATATGTTAATTTCTATAGTATTTGTGTGTAAATTATGCAAGATCTGACTTATACATAATTACATATGTTGTATATGATTTATGTATCATATTTGTCATATGTCATACTTTGCCTAAGTTATATTAAATGTTCTGGTCCCAACTGGTACAACATCTGTGAGTTTTACTGTGTTTGCTTTAGAATTGCATGACTGGCAGCTGGGTTAGATTTTCTTTGATTATGGGTTTGAATTCAGGCAGAACTGTCGTGAGGAAGGTTATGATTTGGACCTAAGTAGAGTTGCTGTCTTACACTGAAACATCAATTTAACAGATACAGTAATTCTCATCACCTGTGCACCAAGATGACAGTTTGATATCGATATTGTAAAACTTTGGATTTTTATGTGAATGCATAAGAGATATGTAACTGGTCTTTATAAATTATCTTCATTATTTTTTAAATTGACCTTTCTTCATATGATAATAGGTCAATGCTCTGCTTGCTGCTGAGCAGGTAGGGCATCATTTGGAGGAATTGCAAAAGGAAGCTGAGAGGGAGAGGAGAGAACAGCTGGAGAAAGCTAGATTGAGGGGTAGCCATGCTCTCCAAATGGTTCATTTGGCACAGGTAATCGAAGTCCTGGATTCAGTTTAATTAAATAGAACTCTCAAAGGAGGATAGCTCCCACAAATGACTAAGAATATTACTGATGTGAAAATTGTATTTTCTAATAACATTTTAGTTAATGTGTGCAGTGATGCACTGGTCATGCTCACTGTTCACTTTGATATATTTATGCACTATTGTGTTGGAATAATGCAAGGAAGTTATACAATTTATTTTGTTTAGTTTGTGTTTTTTTGAATTTGTAATCCTCTGAACAATGTGCCCTCATCTCCTGGAATATGGCAGAACCAGTGAGAATTAGATCTGCAATGCTATTCTGTGGCCAGCTAATAGAGGCTTCTGAAGCATAAACTAAAATGGACCTTGCTGATTTTTTTTTTCTCCCATTAATGAGTTACTTTTCCTCCCATGAAACCACTCCAAATGACCTGCATGAGATCTGTAGCTCAGAACAAATTATGGCAACAGTAATTTCAGTGGATCTTACAAACACATGATAGACCAATCAAGCGCTCTGGGACACAACCCTGCGGGGAGGGGCACTATATAAATGCAAGTTGTTGTAGTTAACGGCATGTATTGTGTCGTTGGGTTGCTGTTTTACAATTAATGTAAGTGGAACTTCATAATGCCGTGATTGCTTCTCTCTTCTGTTTGCTTTTGAATTTTTGATTCTCCTACCCCAATGAAATCCTGGTTCAGATGACTTCAGTTCCTCACAATTTAAACTATACATCCTTCAAAAATGATCACATAACAGGAACACTTTCTTTAATGGATTAATACAAATGGTATTCATTATTCATCCTGTAAAACATGACCATTGACATGATCAAACTATTCAGAAGCATAACAAACCCCTACTTTTGAATCGATAGAATAATTCTCACTAGATCTACAATCTAAATCTCATAATGTCAGTAATAATATATTTGATATCGTGCCTTTCACGTTGGGAGGATATCTCAAAATGCTTCACAGGATGTTTGACTGTTTTAATTGGTGAACACGCCTGCCAATTTGCACATAACATTGTCCCACAAACAGACATGAAATGAATGTCTGATTTTATTTGGGGAGCTGCTGGTCAAGACACTGAGAATCTCCTCTTCGAATAGTGTCAAGGGATGTTTTACCGGCAGAGTGCTACTAACTAAGCCAGGATAATGCATAGTACCTGCTTGAATAAACACATCCATCCAGTTGCTATATAATTGTGCGTCAGCCTGACTCAGTCGGTAACATTCTTGCCTCTGAGTCAGAAGGTAGTAGATTCAAGTCACATGTTGGGGCTTCGAACTTGTATAGTCTAGGTTGACACTCCGGTGCCATATAGGGGTGTACTACATATTTTTGAAGTGTCGTTCTTCAGTTAAGATGTTAAACTGATGTCCTGTCTCCCGGTTCAGGTGAATCTTAAAGATCGCAAGGCACTATTTCAAAGGGCAAAGTAGCTTCTGCCAGGTAACCTGGCCAAAAATCCCTCAGATATAAAACTGATCATTCACTCCATGGCTATTTGTGGTATATTGCTCTGTCCAAATTGTCTGCCTTGTTAACCAACAAACCCTAATCCTTATCCTTTACAATACATCTTTTGAAGTGCTTTGAGACGTGAAGGGTAATGTATCAAATTTAAGTATTATTTATCTGTTCAGACTAGTAATATGAAAGTTACGTATGTAGAGAAAGATGCAAATAAGTTCAGAAGGTGATATAGTCATTTGCAAAGAGTAAATATAATCAAATTAGATTGTTTTCAATTTATTTAATTTCTAGGACAAAGAGAAACTGATGAAGGAACTAGAAAAAATGCAGCATGCTGATTTGACCCGTAGAAGACGTGTTGTGGCTCAAATGCCACCTCAACTCTTTGAGCCACCATATAGACGTGTGGAAATAAAAGCAGACAGGCAAAGAGAGATGGAGTTTGCCTTTGAGGACATGTATTCTGGAGATAAAAGTGAGTTGAAAATTGAGAATATGTGACTAGCTGCTTTAGGATTTATTTGTAATTCCAAACATTTTCACATATTAAGATTTGAGTGTAAAATGTAGGTGCAAAATTATTTTTAAGCATGTGTGTGAATTAACCTTGAGAACTGTTAGAAATTCTGAGTATGGATGAGTTTGACCCAACTGTTTAGCTCAGGTTTATTTTTTTTGGTCAGCCGGGTGTCTTGACACATGCGGAAACTCATCACCATGCTTAAGAGTATCCAAACCAAACTGAAATTTCCATGCATCTCACCTAACATGGAAATACCAGAGTTAGATTGGTGGAATGATATGCTCACTCTCCCTGGAGGGACACATCCTGCTTATCTAATTCTGGAAAATATTAGGCGCAGGTTGGCAAGAGTCAAGGCATTGGGACCCCAGAGTGTGCGTTGGGGTACTGCTGGAGTCTAAGCAGCTAAAAGCTTTCCTGCTGCTTGTCTAGCTAGGACCACCCTATCCATAAGGGCTTTGGCTTGCAGGGTTAACAGGAGCTGAGCGGGATGACTCCCTGCCCCCAGTGACTTGTCTGCCTTCCAGTCCTGCCAACGAGCCAGGCTGGCTGTGCTGTCATCAGGAGTGGCCTGGAATACTGCGGACCTGCCTGGTTCAGGAACAGAACTCCGAGACCGCCACAGAGGGCCGGCTCGATTCCAACATTCCATTGCCAGGCATGTCACCTTGAAGCCATTTCACATACCTTGGTTGTGACATTGTCTCCTCGGGTTACTATGGCCTAGACATTGCAAACACATCAGCGTGGAGTCCTGTAGCTCAGTGGTTAGAACACTCGCTTTGCAAGCGAGAGACCTGAGTTCAATTCCAGGCAGAGGGCGAAACCTTGGGCACGTTTCCTTACTCCACACAGAGCCTAATAATAATCCCTCCAAAAAAAAAATAATAATAATAAATTGGTCATTTTCAATCGATGACTGTTTGTGGGACATTGCTGTGCGCAATTGGCTGCTGCGTTCGCCCACAAATATACAGTCAATTCACTTTACAGTATATTCTGTGAAGCGCTTTGGGATGTCTAGAAGACGTGAAAAGCGCTATATCAAATGCAAGGATTATTATTATTATGACAAGCTCGGAAATGAATTGGCTTCACAGTGTCTGCTTTGAAGTCCTGTAGCTCAGTGGTTAGAGCACTCGCTTTGCAAGTGAGAGACCTGAGTTCAATTCCAGGCAGAGGGCGAAACCTTGGGCAAGTTTCCTTACTCCACACGCCTAATAATAATCCCTCCAAAAAACAAAAACAATAATAAATTGGTCATTTTCAATCTACGACTGTTCGTGGGACACTGCTGTGCGCAATTGGCTGCCGTGTTCGCCCACAAATATACAGTCAATTCACTTTACAGTGTGTTCTGTGAAGCGCTTTGGGACATCCTCCCGACGTGAAAAGCGCTATATCAAATGCAAGGATTTTTTTTTCCCCCCACCTCCGCAACATCTCCCGGCTCCAATCATCCTGCAGTCAATCACCCTGAAGATGCTAATTACCAGTAGTTAGTGATGCAAACTTAGTTTTGGCCGAGAGGTCAGATGAACCTGAGATTCGGTGGCCTGAAGTCAAAATAAGACAAGCAATTTTCGGGCCATCTTTTCTAGGCCCCTGCCCAGATTAAGGCAAGCAGTATTGTCTCTGAAAAGGGCTACTTGGTCACTCAGGATGTTGCTAGATGTGATGAAGTCTCAGTTCATCAACAAGGTGGCCAACGTCCTGAGCTGCCTGTGAGCAAGCTGCTCGCTGTGACTTCCAGCATGTTCTTGTGCCTGTTTTGCGATTCGCTTATTGCCACAGGGCATTTACTTGTGTTGTTCAGGCAGAGGATGTTCCGTAATACTTCATTCCTTTGGGACAGGCAGAACGTGAAGCACTGTAGGAGAAGCTAGTTCTTCGCTTGGAGCGAGTTGTGCTGAAGAGATATCTGACCTGACTCAATAAAAAACTAGAAGGACCTCACTTCCAACAAGCTGGTGCTTTACAATTTGCATGGTGTTTTTGTTTAATTTTGTCATTAATTTTTATATTTGTGAGGTAAACTTTTATGATTTTAAAAATGAATATATTGTACTAAGTAAAGAGAATCTTGATAGAAGATGTAATAGATTTGCAATGGCAACATTTTCTTTCCGGAATGCTGTGCAAAGTAATATACCATGGAGACATTGGTTTTTTTAGGCACCAAAACTGATTTAGCAATTTTGAAGCTTGGGGTATGGCTTTGAAACTTGAGTAATCATCAGAATCTTGCATGAGGTGAATGGTGTGGCAGAATAAATAATTCAGGCAGATGAGTTAAAGTTAACAGAACAATAACATTGGTTTGCCCTGAAAGCCTGCTTTCAAAACCTTTCATCACAGTGAGTATAAGAAAAGTCCCCTGTTGTAATATTTTCTGTTCTCATCATTATCTGAGAGTCTGAACTTCATAAGGCATATCACGAAGTTCAAAATGAATAACCTTGCAATTGGAAGGATTGCTTTGAGTACCTCTGCAAAAGATGTATTTACTGATCCAGCATGCAATAGCAGTTATTTACAAATGTCAGGGTACATACAAACGTGCAGAATTAATATTATTTTTTGAAAACTGGGCCCAACTCTCAGCTTGGTGATCTACTAGGACATCTTTTTGCAAAGACTTCAGACACATGACATAACTTCATCGTGAGTAAATGTATATCTGAAACATTGCAAGAAATATTGTGTAACTAGGATTTTTATTTTGAAAGATACATCATTGGAACAAGGAAGCTTGAGGGGTGACCTGCTGAGGTCTTTAATGAAGTATTTTGATTGTCAACAGAGAGAAATTAGTCCCACTGGTTGATGAATCAGTGACAAGAGCCATCAATTTAAGATAGTTAGCAAGCAAATGGGGAGGTTAGGAGGAATATTTTCACCTATAGTGCAGTTTGAATATCGAATGGCTTGCTAGAATCCTTTTTAGCTTTCAAAAGGGAGCTAGATAAGTACTTAAAAAGGTATGGGGACAGGGCAGGTCAATTTGACTCAAAGGATTGCTCCTTTTTAAAAAAAAATCCAGCACACGCATGATGGGCTGAATAGCTTTTTTTGTGTCCTGTAAATTTCTATGGTTCTATACCAATTTTTAGAATCCCTTTCAATACTGTTTTTAAAAAATATTATACGCATGTTTTGCAGCTATAAGAAGTTGAAAGATGACCAGGCTAAAAATCATAGGATTTGACTGACAAACCAGAAATTATCAGAGTACAACTGACTTTGCAGAGCAATTGTGCTCAGAATGAAGTAATCTGATGTTTTAAGAGCAAAATTAACATGTCAACATCTAAATTTTGAGTTGCAAAATGTTTCCAGTTTGGTTGAGGGGCAAAATTGGAGTATGTCTTCTATGAAGCTAAAACTGAATTGTGGGTGGTGGTCATAAAGAATTCACTGCCTTCTTCATTGTTTCTGAGATGTGGCAAAATTAAATCTTTTTTGAATTGCCTTTTCAACTGCAGTAATGTTAATAATCCTTGCATTTGATATAGCGCTTTTCACGTCGGGAGGACGTCCCAAAGCGCTTCACAGAATATACTGTAAAGTGAATTGACTGTATATTTGTGGGCGAACGCGGCAGCCAATTGCGCACAGCAATGTCCCACAAACAGTCGTAGATTGAAAATGACCAATTTATTATTGTTTTGGGTTTTTGGAGGGATTATTATTAGGCTCTGTGTGGAGTAAGGAAACTTGCCCAAGGTTTCGCCCTCTGCCTGGAATTGAACCCAGGGCTCTCGCTTGCAAAGCGAGCGCTCTAACCACTGAGCTACAGGACTCCACGAAATGTTCACATTTTATTGTTATTGATCATCTTTGTTTTCATTTTCTTAGGGGTCAGAGGTGACTTGGTATTGTGTCTTGAGCCTGAACCTTTACCAGCCCTGTCTGTTGGGACACAGGATGAAGATTTAGATCTCTCAGTCGATCCAGAGGGATTTCATAAGGAAGAGGAACACTTAAAAGATCAGGAAATGTTTGGATCAAGAAAACCCGGAGATGTTAAAAAGGGTGCATATCCTCGTGCTTCAGAAAGTGAGTTATTAATGCAACAAAATGTCTACATTGGCAGTAAGTATTTTCAAGTGACCTATTCAACAGGCATTATATTTTATCTTCTAAAATGTTATATTGCAGGGCGATGTCAATCTATTCCACAGAACTATAACATTGGAATGGGTGTTATTGCTGTCCAAATAGCTGGACATTAATTTCCTACAAACTGTAGAACTATAAATCACAATTAGAACCCCAAATATACTTTTTTGCTGTGCGCAACTCTACTTTCCAATCCCTCATTATTAATCTCCAGAAATTTTATTAGCAGAGCAATTAAAAATGTTTGTTAAAATTTTATGAATGTATTCCCACCCATATATACCCATACTTACAATATTCTGTGACTTCAGGATTTTGTCTTTAGAATTTTAACCTGTTTGAATACTAATCGAGCTAATTGGATAATGAGTTTAACTAATTCATTACTTTTGCCTTCAAAGCACCAGCAGAATGTAGTCATCCAGCTGCAAATCCAACTAAAGCAGCATTAAAGAAGCTGTTAACCAAGATCAGGGCGCAAAGGAATAATTGGACTTCAAGACCTGAAACAGAGAGTTCAAATGAGGTTTTGACAATTGAGTCTGGCTCTATTGAGAGTAAAGAGGAACAACAAAGGAGTTCATCGGAATCCATAGTTAACATGGATGTAGGTGAGGAACTTCTAGTTCATTTCAACAAAGGCAAGTCTAAAAATATTTAGATTTTTAATTTTGCTTCAATTTACTTTCATTGCGTTTTTATTTAAATTGTATCAAGATTTGCCATTTACATTTTTATATATAATAATAATAATCCTTGCATTTGATATAGCGCTTTCCACGTCTTCTAGATGTCTCAAAGTGCTTCACAGAATATGCTATAAAGTGAACTAACTGTATTTGTGGGTGAAACCCGGCAGCCAACTGCGCACAGCAGTGTCCCACAAACAGTCATGGATTGAAAATTACCTATGTATTATTGTTTTTTGGAGGAATTATTGTTGCCATGCAGTACCATATAGATGGTGTGTTCCTCAAGGGGATTTCTCCTTTTTTGATATATTCCTATGACTATGAAGTCAAATGCTGAAATAAAATTTAATCTTAAAAGCCAATTCAGCTTCATATCTTGAAATTTCCTAGAAATTAATTTATCTAATTTGACGTTACATTTGTAAAATGTCATTTATGCTATTACATTGTTTAGAGCAAGACATGCCTGTAGATACCATAATAGCTGGAAATGCAACTTTATTTCATCCCAAGGAGCAAGCAAGCATAATTAGATCTGAGATAGACAGAAAGAAACAGGTATGTGTGTTTTTCCTGTGAATTGAATTCACATATTGTGAACATAAAATTACCCTAATATCATCCCATAAATGTGAATGGTTTCCCACTCTACACTAAAGTTCTTGTTTGAGAAATGTTGCTGATTGGGATTGATTGGAACCCTCAGCTGGTTAACATTACTATATGCCTAGTGCTTTCATTATTTGAAATAGACTTGTTTCCAGTGTTTAGTTCTGTAAGATGTATATTGTTAAAGGTAGACTATTCAGTTTTGTTGAGAATATTCAGCAATTAAACCTGTACCAACTCTTTACTTCCTTAATTCTCCATATCCCATAATAACCTTGGATTACCAAGCATTTATTTCTCTCTAAACACTGAAATTGACTAACTTTCTGAGGAAGTTATTTTGATATTCTCACAAATTTTGGGGTGACGTAACCATTTTTTCTGGGTTCCCCTTTCATCAAAAACACTCTAATTTTAGTTGTATCCTTTGATCCTGGAGATGCTGATTTGTCCATTCCTTTTATGAGCACACCAAACCAAATAGGGTCGACTTCTTCACGATGGCTAAATGTGAATATTTATGAGATTGCAATGGGAAGCCTTTGCAATGGGCAGTCTTTGGAGAAATAGTTCATTGCCTTAATTTGAGCTTATTTGGCTTCTTGTCCTTTGAGTTCTTTTACAATCTACCAATGTACTATTTTGTTTTTCCCCTGAACTTTATGTGAAATTTAGCACAGCTGATATTTATAATTTGATTGCATCTGAATCACAAAACAGTCAAACTCTACGTTTTGATGTGATTCTGAAGTGCTTCTATCCAAAGGCAAAACAATATTATACAACCTCTATTGTAACTTTTCTAGTTGAATTTTCTTTTGGAAGATAATGATGCAAGTCATTCAATCCTGACATTAGAACATCTTGTATGCTATCCCCATTGTTACCTGTACTTTGTGGCATGAGGATACTGTCATGAAGATCTTATCAAATAATCATTGTAACATTTTATTTTTATTTCTAGCTTTGCCAAACTGAAATGCACATTCAGTATAGAAGACATTTAGGGGAGGAAGGATTTTGTTCAACAGTACTGAGAGTAATTCTTGTTTTCCTCCCCTCCCCAAATGTTTACACCTGGGCAGCATCAAGAATTCCTGCAATAAGATTAGCATGGATTAGATTTGGGGTATCATACCATATCAACTTCAAAATAGCACCCTGAATACAGCAATGTGCAACATTTACAATAGTCTTCTCTTTAGTTTTTATGAGTCGTTCTACTTTGGTTTGAATCCAAATAATTTGTTGAGTCAATCAGTCTATGGTCTCTGGGATGATTTAATACTTTGGTCCTAATGTACTTTGTACCTATCTGACACCACCTCTGGTATTTCATTAGTTGGAAGAGTTGGAGCAACAGAAACAACAGCAATTGGTATTACTACAGCAATTTGAACAACAAAAACGGAACTTGAGAAATTATTTTGAGGAAGCCCAGTTTCAGCGGCAACTAATCCAAACCCAAATGGAGGAGAGATTGAGAAGGGATGTGGAAGACCGGAATCAGGAAGCATGCCATGACTATGAGCCCAAAGCATTGGATAGGAAAGAAGATATTTCCATTGGAAAGCAGGATAGTTGGAGACTTCAAGCTCCACGGATGGATGCAGGTGACTCTATTACAGCTGGAACAGTAAGTGTATCTACTCACAGAAGTCACGCTGGTACACCTGCCATCTCTGCTCCCTCGAGGCACAGGTGCATGCCACCGAATGCACCTGGCTTAAATCCAACTTAACAGTCCATCAGCAGATCTGACTAAAGCTTATCAAAACATACCGTTTCGCTCTTGCCTCCGCTGAATCTTGGAGTAGAAGGAACGAGTAGACTATGTTTGACTGCTTCACGTCCCCCACCATGCTTGATCCACCATTGGCAGGTGGGCCTTCTGCCACTCTGCACCCACCCTCTGGAACTCCATCCCGCAGTCCATCCATCTCGCCCCCTCCCTCGCCACCTTCAAGACCCGCCTCCTCGACCGTGCTTTCGATCTCCCAGCTTTCCCCCTGCCCTCCACCCTCCCCCACCCCGAGCCCCAGCTCAGGTCCATAACTCTCTCTGTCCAGCGCCTTGGGACGTCCTCTCAACGTGAAAGGAGCTATACAAATGTAATGTTGTTGTTGTTGGAGGCCAAGGACAACCCCAGGCTCCTCTTCTCCATCACCAACCGGCACCTCACGCCTCGCCCATCCTCTCCTTCAATGCCAACTGTAAGGAGATGCTGGACTTAATCGAAACCAAAATCCAGGGGGTTCGCTCAGCTGCCTTTGCCCTTCCGACTACTACCCCCTCCCAATCTCCCCCTCACATCCCGGCACCTAACCATCCCTCCCTCCCTACAATTCTGGCCAGGCTCCACTGGCTCCCCATCTCCGAATGGATCGACTTCAAGATTCTCACACTCGTGTTCAAATTCCTTCACTTTCTGGCACCTCCCTACTCTCCAACCATCCTCACTCCCCAATCCACCACCCCGGTGCCTCCGCTTGACTGGCACTGGCCTTCTGCTCATCCCACGCACCCTCCACCGCACTATCGGAGGTCGCGCTTTCAACCACTATGCCCCGAAATTCTGGAACACTCTACCTCACTCCCTCTATCTTGCCCCCTCTCTCCCCTTTTTCAAGTTCTGCCTGAAAACCTTCCTCTGCGGCGTGCTATGGCCACCTTTCCACCACACCCCCCCACTCCGGCTTAGGATCAGGCTCCTCCACTCTTAAGCGCCGTGAGACTCTACCCAGTGTGGAAGGTGCTATATAAGTGCAAGTTGTTGCCTTTGATACCATTGACCATTCTATCTTCCTCCACCGCCTCCCCTCTCATCTCAACCTTCATGGTTCTGTCCTTGAATGATTGAGATCCAACCTCTCACACCGTCATCTCCACTTCATCTCTACAAACGACTTCTCTAGTCTCCTGTGTCTCACTGTCTCGTGCAGTGTTCCTGGGGATTCTGTCCTCCTCCTCTGTCCATCTATATGCTTCATCTTGGTGACATCACCCCAGTATGCAGATGACACCCAATTCTATCTCCCTTGTGTTAATGACTCCCAAGCCATGGCATGAGAAATGTTTTAACTGAATATAGGCTAAATTAGTTGGGTATAGCCTTTGGCTCTCAGTATTTCCTGGTCAAGAAGCTCCAGTGCAGCTTTTTGACCTATCCGTTACACTGAAACTACCCTCAGCAATGATATTTTGTCTTACCATGACTAGGGTTCACTGTCTCTCCTTAAAATATTGATACCGTGGGTATATATTCTCCTCTATAGCCTTTCTTACATATCTTGTGCTTGTCATCCCTTTCGTCCCTTTCTGAATAGTATGCTTTTGATCAAGATGTCTTTCCTCAAAAGCCCCGTCTCTTTTCTCATCATTCCTGTATTAGGATTAACAAGGATTAGATGCTGATCAAATGCCCCACCCCTTTCCTAAATTGTCCCCACACCCTTCTTCAGCTCCCGCCACCCCAGCGAGGGCTCCCAGTTGGCTCTGAAGTGCTTTAAGACGTCTTCCAGGTGTGAGAGGTGCTACATATATGTAAAATGTGTGGGGATCAGAACTGTACACAGTACTCGCAAGTGTGGTCTAACCAAGGGTCAACATAAGTTTAGTATAACTTCCCTGCTTTTCATTTCTAACCCTTCTAGAAATGAACCCAACTCTTGGTTTGTCTTTTTTAAGGCCTTGTTAACCTGCGTCACTACTTTTAGCGATTTGGATTTGTGTATCTGTACCCCTAGATTCCTTTGCTCCTCTATCCCATTTAGATTCTTATTTTCCAGGCAGTATGTGACCTCCTTATTACTCTTACCAAAATGTACCACCTCACACTTATCTATATTGAAATTCATTTGCCAGTTAAATGCCCATTCAGCAAGTTTATTAATGCCTTTATAATTTGTTGCACTCCTCCTCGGTATTAACTGCACCCCCCAATTTGGTGTTGTCTGCAAATTTTGAAATTGTACTTTTGATCCCCAAGTCCAAATCGTTAATGTAAATTGTGAACAACAGTGTTCCCAATACCGAGCCTTGTGGAACACCACTTCCACACCCTCTGCCAGTCTCAGTAGCTACCCTTTGCCCCGACTCTTTGTTTTCTGTCTTGTAGCCAGCTTGCTATCCATTCTGCTACTTTTTCCCTAACTCCCTCTACAACTGTAAAATTAAAGAAGCTCTTTGAATCCAATGCATTTTTAATGAGAATCTGGGGACCTAATATTTTTCTCCATTTCCAATCTATAACCCAAAGATCTGACATTTGTCACAAAATATTTTTGGTCAGCCAAAAATCCACATCTGACACATGCGAAAACCCATCATCAAGCTTAAGAGTATCCAAATTGAATAGAGTTCCATGCATCCCAACTACATATGGAAATTTTTGTGTATTTAGAATGATAATACAAAATCACAAAATATGTTTTGGCTTCCAAATTCAGTATTGTTATGGAGGCATGTTCTGCGTGCATGTGTATATACAAGATTTAATAATATTCCCAAACCAGTGTTATTATTTTATTGATAGTTGTATATCATCTGAACACACTCTTATGAAACCTATAAACGTGAAATAATTTCAATAAATGTAGTTCTATGTTCTCAATAGGTCCAGCATCATGAGGGTCTTGTGCCAAAAGAGTTGTCTCAAGAAGATAAACATTTGTATGCAATTCGACAGTACCAGCAGCGTCTTGTAGAGCAAAACAGGTGAATCAATGTTGCTTCAATTTATTCATGCAAGCTATTCACAACATTCAAGCAACATGAAATGCAACTTTACTTTTAAAAAAGTGATAAACAAATAAAAAGGAACAAACTTTGAGATGTACAAAAAAGTATTTTTTTTAAATGTGCGCTAAGTAAAATTTATTGGGGCTTTAAAGATGTCAGAAACTGGAGAACATGGGGGCGAAACAGAGAGAGACTCTAAAGATGTCGCTTTGTAATATATGTTTTTTTGTACAGGTCCCTTCTTTGTTATGCATTTCTGCTTAATAGTGCCACTTTGCAAAGTTATGTAATTGTCTTGTAGAATATTTAGCTAAGTTATCTAAGTTCTTTCAGATGCATTTACTTTCATATCTTATCAACAGCAACTTGCATTTATATAGCGCCCTTCACAAGGGAAGGGTCCCGGGGTGCTATCACTGCCCCTGTCAATATAAATCTTCCATTGGAAAACACATTGCGTGAAACCATTTATCTGAACTAGTGGGAACTCCAGTTAATTTTATCATATTGTTTTCTTTCCAATGCTAATTCTTATTCAGGAAAATGAAAGGACTTACATATTCATTTATATTAAAGTCTTTCAGTTTCCCAAACAATGGTGTCTTTCCTTGTGGCTTTAGGTCCTGTAAAATCCTCTGGTATTTTTCCCATTCTTTCTGACTTGCTCTGTTTTACCTCGTTCAAGGTCCTTCTTGAGACCTACCTTTTTGCGTTTCAGTCATTTGTCTGACCCACTCCCTCAGTACCTACCCCAGATTTGGGTGCCCAGCCAGTACTGTTGAGTGCTTTGGGATATCCTCCTGACATGAAAAGTGCTATATAAATCTAAATATCTATTGTACTATTAGTAGTAAATTACCTTTTCTATAATTCTCTGATTCACATATTGGCTCGTTTTGAAATTCCAGGATGTCAGTTCACGCAATACAGATTGAAGTCCTTTATGAAGCTCACAAGTTTATTAACACAAATCTCATCATATTTTCACATTTTATTTTGTTTCTAATTCTATATATGTTTTAAATTCGGGAGCCTTTGTAAATCTGGAATTTCCCCTCAGTGAGATGGCAAAATAAGGAAAGGCAAAATAGAAATGGAGAAGGCAGCAGAGCATGAATAAAAGTTTAGAAAGTCAGCACAATAAATAATTCTTCATACTGTAAAATCACCTACATATTCCCACATCCGTTTTACTGAACACCTTAATACTTGGATAAGAGTGAGCGTTCTGGAGATGACTGTTTAATGAGATCTGTGACATTTGCCCTAACCTGACATTTATATCACTTGATTTTATTAATCTCTAGTTGCACAATTTTTTAAATGTGGACAAGTTTCTTTGTTTTATTTCATTGTTCTGAATCCATTCCTTTTTTTAAAAATATGGGTATAACACCTTGGTTCACTAATCGTGCTGGCACTAGTTCTGGCAAAGAAAGTGATTTGAAACCAACACTCAATTTATCTATCCCATGTTCTAATTTTTCAGATTGCATAGGAAATCTGTGGAAGAAGCCAGGAAGCAATTGGAAGAATATCAACTTATGTTGAAAAGACGACATCCATCCATATTGACTACAGCAAGTCAATTATCTACAAAATGCTCCACATCACAGCCGCTCCACTATGATACACCTGCTGGAACTCAGTCCAAGATTGATATATCCAGCAGTAAAGCTGAACAGTCTCTTCCTGCACCTGCTGTTCAACATCTTGATCTTGTAAATCAGCCTACATTTCCAATTCGGCCACATGTTGATTTGATAACAGCTGGATTGCCACATACCAGTACTCACCTACTGCAACACAGTCGAACTGCATCATTATCTGCAGATGGCAAAGAACCAGTTCCCACCATTCATTTACCAAAGTACTCTGAACCTGCTTTTCCTTCAGCAAGATGTGAACCTTTAGTAACACAAACTTTACCTGATTCAGCAGGACTTGTGACACGGTCTTTACCTGCACAACATGTTGTTGTTGATAGTGAAGGTACACATCAAAGACAAATAGATAGATTGTTTGATACTGGAGAATATAGTTCTGGAGATCATGTTACTATTACTCAAAAGCAGCCATTTATGTGCCATGAAAGTATGGGTCACCATGATCTATCAAAACCTGAAATGCAACCTATTTTGTCAGATGCATGTAGAAGGAAGAGTCCAGAAGTATCAGAATCTTGCAGCAGGGCTACAGTTGAGCTGCAGCAAGGATCCACAGATGTATTACAGATGCAGGCAAGATTAATGGAACCGGCTGGCATTCAGCGAAAGCCCATGAAGATAATGCCAGGGTCATCAGAAACATCACTAGGAACACTCAGACACTTGGAGCTGTCAGGAACTTTGGTGAAACATTCTGAAGCCTTGAAAAATCAGAAGAGGCTGACTGCATTATCAAAAGATATTCAGATTCGACAGGAACACTTGAGAGAGTTGCAACAGCAGCTGGATAGACAGCGGGAGGCTCTTTTTTCCAAACAGATGTCACAGGAAGAAATGCTGAATGACAGGGAAAATCAACTCCAGGACCAGATGCAACAACAAAAGAAAGCCCTGGAGAATTATCTTACTGAGATGCAGGTACAGTCTACATGTCCACATTTCTATTACTAAACAACTTGGCAACATAGTAAGAACAAAGAAAAATGTTAATGAAATCTTTGTTTATAATAACCTTACTGATCCCATATGTGGAATCTTATTATTATACTTGAACTACTAGAGGTTTATATAATTCCAATTTTAAGTTACCTGATTATGAAATATTTAATTTTAATATCTGTTGTCATGCAGGCTACTCAAGATGCAAAATATAATTCAGTTGGAATCCATTTTAGTGGAGTCCCATTTTAAAATTTAATCTTCAGTGTTCTGCAACATTTGGGTGAAAATTGTGATTAATTTCAGTCTTTAAACAGTCAACAACTAAGATTAGCAAAAAGTGTGAATGTTCTCTCTCTCCCTCCCTCCCTCTTCTCCCCCCATCAGCCCATTGTTGGCCCCAAAGCTGTTGGTGTCTGTGATTGAAGTTTCTGTCCACAGCTGCTGTTCACAGGATACCAGTTAACTCAGTATAATTGGCAATTACTGGTATACGAATAGACATAGTTGTTTTCATAATGACAAACATTTCTTGATGTAAACTTCATTCAGAAAAATGATGGAACTGCTCCCTAACAATTGTTAGCTGTTCCAATGAATGCACTAGCACTGCTTTAAATTAATATGAAAGCCATTTCTTTTAAATTTCTTCCTTTTTGTTTTATTACTTCAATTCTATTCGTTGGAAATTGTTGTTGTCATCCGCTGGATCATTGGACCAAATATCTTCCCATTCATTACCAATGTTATATTTGGAAGGAAGCCTGAATGCTTGGAAGAAAGGAGAAAGAAATTGAGATTTGATTGAATCAAGTTAAAGATTGATCAAATCTTAAATCACTCAACATGTGAATATAATTTCAACTATCACTCCTCTCTAATTTGAATTTTTAATAGGAATTCAACCTCCTGTCTTTAGATTTTCAGTATAGAAACCCTTTTGATTACAGAGAGACAAGTAACCTTTTAATCCAGCAAAATTCACTACTGTTCCTAGCAAACCCAATGCACTGCAACATAGTGTTTACAAAGCTTATTGACCAAGTCCTGGCAAAGATGGATCGATGATTGAAGTCAGTAAAACTTAAAATGACTCTTAATGAAACCAAGTGAGTGCATGCACATTTGTTTAGGAAACATTTTGCAGAGGAAGTTACCATGCCTTTGTATCCTTTCTACTGTAACTTTCTAAAATTAAACCAAGTGCATTATGTATACAATTAGCCAATATTGAAGGTTCCCAATTAAGGTGGTCTTGTAAGCTACATGGTGAGCAGCTTTTAGATCTCAGCTAAATTTGCAATCTGTTCCACTTCTGTTAAACAAAAAAATATAGAGCAGTCAAGTTTAGTTGTTTCTCTTGCTGCTTTGGTTTACTTGCTTATCTTTTCAGTGGTCTTGCTTAAAACAACAACAACAAAATTACATTTATAGAACACCCTTCACGTCGGGCGGATGTCCCAAAGTGCTGAACAGTCAGGTGTCGGGGCCCTGGTATGGTGGTGTAGGGGAGAGGGAAGGCAGAGAGGTGGGAGAGCGACCAAAGCACGATTGAAGAGAAGGGTTTTGAGACCGGCCTTCAAGGAGGCACGGGAGGAAGCAAGATGATGGGACTGTGGGTTGGAGTTCCAGAGTTTGGGAGCAGAAAGGCTGAAAGCCCGGCCACCCATGGTAGGGTGGGTCAGGAGGGAGATATGGAGCAGGCCAGAGCCTGATGAACGGAGGGAACAGGCAGGTTGGTAGGGAGTCAGCAGGTCAGAGAGGTAGGAGGGGGCAAAGCCATGGATGGCCTTAAAGGTGAGGACGAGGATCTTGAACTCGATCCTCTGGTAATGGGGAGCCAGTGGAGTCGGGCGAGGGTGATAGTGATGGGGTCACAGGGCCTGGTACGTGAGAGTACACGAGCTGCAGAGTTTTGGATGATCTGCAGCTTGTGAAGGGAAGAGTTGGGAAGGCCGATGAGGAGGGAGTTCCCATAATCAAGCCTTGATGTGACGAATGCGAGGGTGAGGGTTTCGGCAGCCTGAGGGGTGAGGCAGTGGCGGAGTCTGGCAATGTTGCGGAAGTGGTGGTAGACAGTGCTGATCATGGCGCAGATGTGGGGGAGAAAGGACAGTTCAGGGTCAAACAAGATACCCAGGTTCCTGACTGGTTTAGTGAGGTTCAGTGTGTAGCCGTGGAGGCTGATGCTGCCAGCGCCTGAGGTGCGGAGGCGCTGGCGTGAGCCAGTCAGGAGGGCCTCAGCCTTGCTGATGTTGAGTTGGAGAAAGTTGGCCCTCGTCCAAGACTTGATGTTGGACAGGCAGTCGGTCAGGATACCAGTGGTCCTGGAGTTCAGGGTGGAGGCAGAGAGGTAGAGTTGGGTGTCATCCGCATACATGTGGAAATTTACCCCATGTCTGCAGATGATGTCACCAAGGGGGAGCATGTAGAGGGTGAAAAGAGGAGGGAACTGAGGACAGAGCCCTGAGGAACACCTCATGAGACGATGCGGGGGCTGGAGGAGAAGCTGCTTGCCGCGACAAAGTGGAGGCGGTGTGAAAGGTAGGACCTGAACCAGTCAAGGACAGAACGTTGAAGGTTGAGGTGGGAGGAGAGGCGGTGGAGGAGGATTGAGTGGTCAACAATGTCAAAGGTGGCGGAGAGGACGAGGAGGCAGAGGGAGCCCTGGTCAAACATGGTCAGGATGTTGTTTATGACCTTGACCAGAGCAGTTTCCGTGCTGTGGGCAGCTGTGGGAGGAGAGGAAAGAGCGAACCTGGGAGGCAACAGCTCTCTCAAGGACCTTGGATAGCAAGGGGAGATTTGAGATTGGCCAGTAGCTCGATAGCTGTGATGGGTCGAGGGAAGGTTTCAAGGTGGGAGTGATAATGGCTGTTTTGAGGGGGGAAAGAACAGTGCCAGATGACAAGGAGAGGTTGATGATGTCGGCGAGTAGTGGGGCAAGGAGGTAGGGCTGGGATTTAAGGAGAGGGGTGGGGATGGGGTCCAGGGAGCAGTTGGTGGGCTTCATGGAGGTTACGGTGGTGAAGACCGAGGAGGGGGTGACAGGTTCAAAGGTGTGGAAGGTGGGATGGGTAATTGTCGGATGGGTAATTGTGTGGAGTGGTGGTAGGGAGGGGGTGGATGTTGGGAGGGCAGTAGCAGCTGAGCGGATTCCCTCGATTTTGGACTCGGAAGTCCAGCATTTTCTCGCAGTGAGAGTCAGAGGAAAAACGTACTTGAACATATTTTGCAGAGATATCCAAAGTGCAAATCCTTCACTTTGTAATTTATCGTTCTACCCATTTATTGGAGGATTGGTTGGTAAGCTCACTTACAAAGCATGAAGTAGCATTTTAGGGATACAATGGTTACCTTGCAGATGTAGACAATCTATAAGTATATTTCTACCTCATCTTCCACCTTGCTCAGGCTCCAACCTCCATCTCTGTAAAGTGCTTTGAAATTTGTTGTTGAACATAATTGTCTAGAAATCCCAAAGTGCTTCCCAGGAGGTACTGTGAAGTATAATGACTGTATTTGCAGGCAAATGTATTTACAAATTCTCAGAAGAGAGAAATTGCTTCCTTGTCAGTGTATCTTTCTTAATGGAAAAGTTACACAGAATATTTTGAACTTCCTAGTAAGCAGTTACGCTAGTTTTTGCATGGGGGAACAAAGTGGAATGTTATGAAATATTCACAAAGATTTTATTTCTTAATCTTAGTTGGGAAACTCACTGCTGCATGAAGAAGCAACTGCATCTCACAATAACGATCAACAGCTTGTGATGTCATCCTTGCTGCAAACCTTGGTGGAATTTGAAACGGAATCAACAAATGAGATTCACCAGCTGGAAAATATTCAACTTAAAGCACATGAGCCAACTTCCCAGACGAATGAACTATTTTCACAGTGCTATGACTCTCTCTTTAGAAAAACTGGTAATTTTTAAGCTGTTTTGGGAGATTATTAACATATCATAGGGTGGTCTGCTCCTTATCTGACTGGTGAACAAGACCCCCACCTTCTCTTGCCCACCCCCACACACACTCCACGCAACTTATTCAAATGATTGTGCCCAAATTTGTTAGCAGCAGCCATTGAGCTGTTTGACAGCACCTTTGAACCTGCCACCACTCAGACCTCAGCATTTCAACGTTGGTTTCCAGAATTCTGGTTTAACAACAACAAAATTACATTTGTAAAGCGCCTTTCATGTCGGGAAGACATCCAAAGGCACTGAACAGTCGGGAATCAGGACCTGAGCATGGAGGGCAGGGTTGGAATGAGGGAGGGCAGAGGGGGTTGGAGGGCGGCTGAAGCCACGGTCGAAAAGGAGGGTCTTGAGTCGTGCCATGAAGGAGGCAAGGGAGGGAGCAAGGCGAAGGGATTGTGGGATGGAGTTCCAAAGGGTGGGGGCAGAGAGGCTGAAAGCGAGGGTGGGTGCGACCGGGTCATGGAGCCTGGTGTGGGAGAGGACAAGCTGCAGAGTTCTGGATGTATGAAAGCATGTATGAGGGTTTTGGTGTCCGGAGGGGGCGAGGCTGCAGCGGAGTGCGACAGTGTTGCGGAGGTGGTGGAAGGTGGAGATGGGAGTCATGGGATGGATGTAGGGGAGAAGGGACAGTTGAGGGTCGAACAAGATATAAGCACTATATCAAATGCAAGTATTTATTTGAGTGATCTTGCTTCCCACACAGCTTCAAACTCCACGGCAGTTTGTTATTAGTTGACATCACCTCCAATGTTACACCTCTAGTGCATAGAAAATGACATACAAAGTGACATGGAAATTGGCCACTTTTGTAGTCAGAATATTGAAAATTAAAAGAAGATAAAATAACTCAACAAAATTGAAAATCGGCAACTCAACCTATAAGCACAATTTGAAAAATTGTATTCATAATGTAATCATTGTTTTTTAAGGTGGACGTCATTTAACAAATTCAGCAACTGATCAAGTTTTAGAAGGACAGCTTCAAAACTGGAGGCCTTCTAAACCACCAGTAACCAAAACAAAACTCGGACTCTTTGGGCTTGATGAACAACATGAATTAAGTTCAATTCAGGAGGTAGAAACACCTCAAAGTGACAGATTCTCCATATTTGGTAACTTATACTTTTGATTTTTCTTGCACCCATTTCTGTACATTTGGCCAATTACATGCAGTACTATTATTTTTTGTGCTATGGGAATAGTCATATGGATCACAATTGTTCCAATTGTCCTTGTTGGTCAGGTCTTGTATATTACTGTGTGTGTGTGGTACTAAACAATATAGCTTTTTATTTGAGGATATTATCCCTCTTTAATAATTACAGGGTAGAGTTTTTCTTAAAAGCACCAGATCAAAATGCTTAAGTCTGTTATACAAACTACAAAACAAAAACTGGTTACAGTGGATTGGATCACAATTTGTGTGAGCATTCTTGAAGTATTCCATTTAAAGGCTGATTTTTTTAAAAACCAAGTTGAAGAAATTTAGTTACTGATTTATCAGCCTATCTTCAAGAGCATAGGATGCTTTGTTTTGATCAGGATGCATTGTTTATCACAGAGATGCCTACACTTATATGCAGGATAACTGGATAGTGCACTAGTAGGGTTCTGTCCAAAGTTATACTTATTTTTTAAATTAAGCAGAAATTTGGTTTTGCTTTTACATTTTTCTCCACATGCTATTTCTAGTCGAGAGTTGCAGCAATGCAAATGTCACACAAGTGCCTAATTATTGTTAATAATTATTGTTAATTAATGCCACTGTTTAGATTAGTATGAGCATGGAATAATTTGTTTCCTAAATTTTCTCATTTCCATCTTTACCTGCTCCGAAACCAAATATCTTTTGGTATGAAACTAATCTATCGTGAAAGTTTGTTTTTAAAGAAACAAAAGGATGTCTATTTTAAGTATTAATTTAAAATGTTTTTTGGTTAAAGTAAACTTCTGACAAGTTATCTAATCGTTTTCTATTAAATTGGAAGTTTTATCCCATCCTTAATGATGGAAAAGGACATAAACCTAATCTAGTTTAAATTGGGATGAAATTTAGTTTCTTAACTAAGGAATCCTGCAGCTCAGTGGTTACAGCACTCGCTTCGCAAGCGAAAGACCTGGGTTCGATTCCCAGCAGGACGAAACGTTGGACAAGTTTCCTTAATCCACATGCCTCTGTTTACGCAGCAGTAAGTAGGAACTCGGTTGTTAGTCGATTGGTAATAATTCCTTTTCAAAAAAAATATAAATTGGTCACTTCAATCCATGACTGTTTGTGAGACACTGCTGTGGGCAATTGTCTGCTGCATTTCGCCCACAATATATACAGTTCATTCACTTTACAGTATATTCTGTGATACAGTTTGAGATGTCTCGTAGACGTGATAAGGCACTATTATCAAATGCAAAGATTATTGTTGAAACGATTGAGCACAAAAGTGACTTTAGAAGGTTTGAACTTGTGTAAATTTGCTTGAATAGATATAATTGGAAACTTGTGAAGAATATTTTGATGGAAGCTTGCATGTAAGAAGTTATTTGCAAAAACATGCACTCTGCAAAACCTAAAATTGGTATTTGCAAAATGAACAGTGTGCAGTTTGATTATTATTCAATGCTTTATGAATAGTTAATTTGTAGTCTGTATCAAAGTGAGGCAATTTTACTTTTTCTGCATCAGTTAACAGGAATATATCTAAAGGAGATAACTGTTATTTGCCAGAAGATCTATCTTGTTCCGTTCAAGCAGAAAATGACATGTCCGTAATATCAACAAGTAGCAGCCAGCAAAGTTCTAGTGCCACCAATAGTGCTTTAGATTCTGGTAAATCCGGCAGACGAACCTGGAGAGAGGAATTGGCATTGGAAACTGGAAAACCCCCAGAGGAAGGTAAGAATGTGTATATATAGGAAAAAATGTTAAAATATTGAATAGTCCTGTTTTTGTTTATGACCTGGATCCTTCTGCTCAGTGTTCTGGGTGTATACCATTTGGAATTCATACCAGCAAAATTTTAAAATGCACACAGTGTTTTTAATGTCAGCTGACGCATACATAAACCCATCACCAGGCTTAAGAGTATCCAGACCAAACTGAGAATTCAGTGCATCCCACCTACACACGTAAATTCCAGAGATAGGTTGTTGGAATAGAATGCCCACTTTCTCCCGAGGGACACATCCCGCTTACCTAATTCTGGAAAGTGTTAGGTGCAGGTTGGTAAGAGCCAAGGCTTGGGGAACCCCAGAGTGTACTGCTGGAATCTAACCAGCTAAAACCACATAGCTTGCCATTGGTATTGCTGTATGGCACGCTTTCTTGCTGGTTGGAATATAATCATATAATAGTATAATAATAGAATAGAATAACGGGAGATGAGTGGGAAGAGTCCCTTCCCCCAGTGATTTGTCTGCCCTTTCAAGTCCTGCCAATGAGTCTGCTGTTAGCAGTATCCTGGAGCTTGGCTGTGGTGTCGTCAGCAGTATCCCAGAGTACTGTGAACCTACCTGGCTCAGGAACTGGACTACTGAGACTATCACAGAACGTGTCACCTTGGATCCAGTTCAGCTCCAAGGAGACCCTGCTTATCCCCCCTGCCCAAGGAGGAATGCATACAATTCCCTTTTTGCGAACATTCTCAATAACTGTTTTGGGGACAACGCCGAGTAATTTGCTGCTGTTTTTGTTCCCCTCCCAAATTAATTTCTGAAATGTACAAGATTATTTTTCTCAATCTTTGTTATAGCTACATTTCATGGGTCAGGCAGAACTGTGAATATGAGACCTGCTGTACTTCAACATGTATTAATCTAATTGCAGTTTGTGGGCATTGTAGCTCAGTGGTTAGAGCACTCGCTTTGCAAGTGAGAGACCTGAGTTCAATTCCAGGCAGGGCGAAACCTTGGGCAAGTTTCCTTACTCCACACGTCTAATAATAATCCCTTCAAAAAAACAAAACAATAATAAATTGGTCATTTTTAATCTACGACTGTTTGTGTGGCATTGCTGTGCGCAATTGGCTGCCGCGTTCGCCCACAAATATACCGTCAATTCACTTTACAGTGTATTCTGTGAAGCGCTTTGGGACGTCTAGAAGACGTGAAAAGCGCTATATCAAATGCAAGGATTATTATTATTGAAATATGTCTGTCAGCTCACCATTGTATCTGCAGAGTGGGAGGTGGTTTATTGCTCACAAAATTCACCTCATTTGCATTTCTTTTTAAGAGACCCGAGTTGTTTTTGTGAGGTTTCAAATTGAGCTTTCATTATAACAAACTAGTCTTCAAAAGCATTGATTTTAATATTTTTTTCAGCCTCAAGCAAGATTTGATGTTGGAAGTTTCTCCATTCACCTGTGGAATACAATAGATTCACAAAATAATTAATGGTGGATGTTAAAGATCGCATGGCACTTTATGAAAAGAGAGGGGAGTTTCTCCTGGAGTCTTAGAATCCCCCAAATACAATTGGTCATTCATTTCATGCCTATTTGTTCAACATTGCTATTTGCAAATTGGCTGCTCCAAATACCCACATACACACTTACTCCAGGCAGAGGGTGAAACCTTGGGCAAGTTTCCTTACTCCACACAGAGCCTAATAATAATCCCTCCAAAACCAAAAACAATAATAAATTGGTCATTTTCAATCTACAACTGTTTGTACAAATATACAGTCAATTCACTTTGCAGTATGTTCTGTGAAGCGCTTTGGGACGTCCTCCCGACGTGAAAAGCGCTATATCAAATGCAAGGATTATTATTATTATTACTCCACTTCACGGTAAATCCCATAAAGTGCTTTGGGCCATCCTGACGTAAAAGGCACTATGCCAGATGTAAGGATTATTATGGCTTGAAACCGTGAACTTTTTCCTCAGGTGTTTGAAAGATTGGATAGAATGCAGTAGTTGTTCATTGGTTGGAGTGCATTTGATGGATAAATTGGTATTTTCTCATTCTATGTTGAACCGATGTTCATCTAATCCTCTGATTTTAAATTAGGCCCCTCCATGGCTCCTTCAGCTGCTGGGTCCTGTATACCAAGTTACTTTGCTGCTGTTGGAGGAAGTGCACTTGTATACCCTGGGACACCTATGTCCACATGTATAACCAGTAGTCAGGCAAGTAAATATCCTAATGGGAGGCTTGTTATTGAACATAGATGTTTCTATTTACACAGATTATATTTGTCAGTTTAAAATTCTAGGCATGTTTGCACAAATCTGTTGCTGTAAATAGTTTCACTTTAGCTCTTATCTTCTTGTTCCACTATGAACAGCCCTCAAGTAGCAGTGCTAATATTTGAAACTCAAAATTGCTAAGTGCAGTATTGATATTCAAGCATATTGTTCTGTGCAAGGAGGGCACATATCCTGCTATTGTTTATACATTGATATGCAATCATAATGTTCTGTGTAGATATGGTGTTGAAAATCTGAAACCGTTTTTAAATATAAGAACTGTTGTAAATGATGCTCTAATGTCAGTGCCATCATTTGAGCATTGCTCACAATGGAATCAAACACGTTTATATGATGCACTAAAGTGAAAAATTAAATCGGAATTGGTCTGACTTCGAGTCAGGTGCTAGGGATAGAATATCCAGCTATGATATCAAGTTTTGCAAGTACAGTCAATAAAAATATCAGCTTGCTTTGAGAACCAGTGCGGGCTCAATGTGCCGAATGGCTTCTTTCTGTGCTGTAAATATTTATGGTTCTATAAAGTAACAATTGTGGTGAATGGAATGATGAAACTCATTGCTAAGAAATAACCAAACTACTTCAGGACTGGTGCTCATAAATTCAGAGGAGGACTGTTGGTAATCTGAACTGAAAGCTGGCAACAATTAAGCTTTTGTGCATATTAAAATATATTCTAATTTGCTGCTTTGTTTGTGATTGTTCCTCAGAATGTAGGTTGCTTTGCTCATCCTCTATTTAATTCCATTCACCACCATCCTTTCCCTCATCTTTAATTGTGTACATTTTCGCAGCCATATCTTTTCCTGAGCACCTGTTTCCAACTTGATTGTTTAGTGTGGATTTCAGCTTCAATTTATGCTTCTTTCAGGACTCTTCGTGATCACCAATAGTTTGTTGAATTCAGCACTCTTGTCATTTTATAGCAGATTTGTTAATGGGTCACACCTGAAACATTAACCTGCCTTTTTATTTCAGCTGATTGATGCTGCACATTTACAGCATTATTTGACTATTTGTAATCCAATAAATAGCAATGCGCTATGGGCATTTGTGATTGGAACAAAAAAAACTTTAGTACTTATAGTTGACTTTAGATACTGCATAATTATTGAAACTGAGCTGTATATTCTGTCGTCTTACACCTTGATGCAGCTTATCTGAATGACAAAAAAGTCTTTTTTGCCTCAATAGAAATAGATATTTAGCATAGATTAACTTTACATTGGAAGACATTCAGGTGTTTCAGGTGAGGAATGGAAGTAGTACATTGAGAGTCATACACTGAGGCAGGATCAAATGAAATGTTCCATTTCCCAATATAGTAGTAATATCTAGGAAACAATTTACACAAAAAAGTATTATTTTTGTTACACTATTTTGTGTTGATTTATTACTGGGCTCTGCGTCTCTTCTGAGATCTGCTTACTCAGTGGGTCAATGATGAAAAATAGCCAAATCTGAGCACCAGTAGATCAGTTGATCTAATTGGTGAATGATTGGTGTACAGACCAGAGAAGCTTGTGTGTGGTGTGTGTGGTGTGTTTGGTGTGTGTGTTGTATGTGGGTGTGTGCCTGTGTTTGTGTGCATTGCATGCGTGTCTGTTCAGCTTGTCTGTGTGTCTGACTGAAAGAGACCAATGTATTTTTTTTAATACTGAGCAATGATGTGAAGATATGCGTACTGATGTTTAAAATCTATTCTAATGATGTTCATTACACTTGAACTGAGCTCAGTATTTTATACAAAACTGGATATTCTGAAAACGGTGTGTTTTAATGTTGAAATCAAAGTTTAATTGTGAGAGAATATTTGATTAAATTGGAGATGATTCAGCTTCAAACATTTTTCATTTAATAATTTTCTTTAATAGTGAAGGATTTTTCTGTGTTTTGGATATTTGTTGTATAGTTGGAACCTTTCATAAAAGGAGGCCTGTTACATTCAGTGTTTGAAAATGCTGACCTTGCATTCTTTCATACTTGTTCAATTGCTACTTTCCTAAGATTCAAAAAAGTAGTTTCACTGGACAAAGAGGACTGAAGTTGGTTGTCTGCTTTATGTGTTGAAAATTGCATTGAAATAATTGCAGAACACTTCTGCTTAAAAATGGCACATAACAGGGCAGTCTGTGAGGCGATCTGCATTGTCAGTTTAAGACTTTATTTCCAGTCACTGCTTATCTCAGCACTGACACCAGTTTTAACACTTCTCGATCATTATGTGCCATTTTAGGCAGGAGTGTTCTGCAATTGTGCAATACAGTTTATGTTTATATAGTGCCTTTCACATTGGGATGATGTTTCGGAGCACTTTACATAGTTGGATGAACACCTGAGCCAGGGGAGGGAGAGCAGAAAAGGGAGGGAGGCTACAGAAAAAGATTTTTCAGTTTAACCAACATTTAAACCAGTAAATTTGCCATTGTATTTTAGTTGATGTTCGAATCTGATAGACCAGTCAAAGTGCATCATTAAGGTTTTGCAAGTCAAGCTTTTAAGAAACATTATGATAGCAGACTAGTGTGTGGACTTCTGTGTGGTTTAGATTAATATGTAATGATTCCAATGACTAATCTATGCAATTAACTTAAATTCTCAAAGACTCCTCAATTAATAAATAACTATAAATAGCTTTTCTATTCAGCACATCAATTCAAAGTTATTCTCCATTATTGTCATAGAACTTGATTTTTTATAATCTTTTGAGATTTGATCAAGAACATTGTTAGATATTAATGACTTGCAGTATATTTTGACTGCATGATGGAATATCTTAGTTTTCTAAAACAATACTTGCAGAATTGCAATAAATCATTTAATATTCCAATTGTGCATAAAAACTCTGGATTTCTCTTTTTCATATGACACTACAAACCTTTATGCTGTAGGTTATGCTTCCTTATTCGTGGGCCTGTGATATATATGGACCTACTGCTGTTGAAAAAAATCCACATCCTGATGTGATGTATCCATCTTCCACAACCCTGTCCACGGGGAGTTTGAGTGAACAAGAAGTAGTTAGTCCCATCAGTTCAGGTTTGTATCCCTTTAATTGCACAATGAAAAGAAACTAAAGAAAAAAATAATAATCCCTCCAAAACCAAAAACAATTATAAGTTAATCATTTTCAATCTACGACTGTTTGTTGGACATTGCTGTGCGCAATTGGCTGCCGCGTTAGCCCACAAATATACAGTCAATTCACTTTACAGTATGTTCTGTGAAGCGCTTTGGGACGTCCTCCCGACGTGAAAAGCGCTATATCAAATGCAAGGATTATTATTATTATTATTATTATTAAACTCAAACAATTTCTGTTGTTTGAATGTACAAACCATTTGAAATCTACTTAAATCCGCTAATACATTAAATAAATTAGCTCTATATAACTCAATCTTGCACAGAGTTGAGGAATTATTTCATTGATTATTTGGTTTTAAATAGCTGGTGGATCCACAATACATTGCATTTTCTGTATTGACACTAGTTAATGACTTTATTTCTCTTCTATCAGGATTGTGCTCCGATGTCTTTCCAAGAACAGCGACAAGACCTTTTACTGCTCCACCACGGGTTAGTCCTACAAGTACATCAAGCTCACCATCTTCATCTGGATACCAGGCACCTGTCGAGAGTGGGGATATACATCCTTGTTCATCTAAATTGGAGGAATATAGTCCTAATGAAAGCAAAATTCAACAAATAATAGAAAAGTACACCAGAGATCTAAATAAATTAATGGATTCAACTGTAAAACGTCAAGGTAATATTTCCAGACCATATTGTTTTTTGAATGAAATGGAATTTGCAAGTAAGGATTTGTCATGGTATCTGAGAGTTGACTTATAGATGTGCAAGAAATAGTTCAGTAAATATTTGCAGTTAACTCTAAAGGGTTTCAAAAAGAACTTTGATACTAAAAATAAATCTGGCTTATTTCAAGTACGGGCAAGAAGCGATCAAGGAATCTTTTAGGAAATGGAAAATTTGATGGACTATTCAGCACATCAATTAGAAGTTGTTCCCTATTATTGTCATAGAGCTTGATTTATTTTTTAATCTTTTGAGATAAAGCTGTAACTCTTACTGTGAGGATCTTATAGTGAGGGTCTTGCATGCTATTGTATTATTTATTGATGCTCTGAGGTGTGAATGCCCTCTCTCGTCAAAGTAATTGTCTCCCAAACATTACTCCTCTCTTGTTGGTGAAACTGAGCTCCGTTGAGACTGGAGTTGGTTGGGATGTGGTCTCTGTTTTTTATGGTTTTGATCTAAAGAATCTCATCGAACAATCTCTGGGTCAGGAGGATTTGGGAGTTTGTCTAGGGTGAGATATGCTTGTCGGATTCTGAACATACCCTCTTATTCTACTGTCTCAGAAAAAAGAGAGCGAGGCATGTGGGTTCAAGTGGATTTCCTCTGTCAATAGTAGATGACCCAGGTACTTTTCTCAGTTACAGAACAGGATTTCAGTATTTGAGAGATTGAATAAAACTCGGTCAGACTGCAGTTCATTTGATATTTTATCACATCAAATGCCCCGCATGGCAACAAAGTTGTCATTGGTGAAGTCCGAAAAGCTGGGCCCATGGTGTTTAACATCTGGCTTATGAATCCAGGCCTTCGACTGTCAATTTGTTTTAGTTTTTCGGTTGCTAAATATATGAATCTGCTGATTTTCCAACATACTTTTCAGCTTCTGCAACTGGATTTGACATTTCTGATGTGGAGGACCCTAATTTCTACTCTCCACTGCAGTTTTCCCGACAGGGTTCCTGTCCAGAATTCTGTCATTTAGAGCCAATAACTGATTTTGGCATTTCAAGCACATCAGCATCTTTCAGCAGTAAGGTATGAAGAATATTTTTGACTATACAAAAATATAACGGGCATTGTGTATATTTGTAGTTTTATCATTTTATATTTAACTCGATAATTGTATTTTCTGGAATATTTTAGAGATTACACTATAGAAGTTAATTCAAATATGAGTATGTGGAAACTACTGTTGGAATAACACGATGGAATGGAATAGAATAGTAACAGAACAGGCTGTTGACTTTTGGGCTACAGATAAAGATCAGTAACTACTGAAAACTGATATTTAAGTTATTGAATAGTAATGGAAATTCTTCCTCAATTCTATGAAAAATTGATTGTAAAAGATTAATGAATGAGCTATCTTCCATAAGGGAAAAATGTGAGACATTGGATCTATAGTAATAAACACCATGTGTTAAATGCATACCCATTGAAAGCGCTCATCGACAGTTTAAATGTGTTTAAATGATCCAATTTAAGAATTAATGTGTAGAACTGCAACGTTAGATGTTTTTAAAGACTGGGATGCACAGTGGGAAGTATAGATCAGGCTTCATGTTCCACCTGGGAATAATTTCTTGCTCTATTCCAGCAGTATAAATACAGCATAATTTGTTCTCTGATCCCTGTTTGCAGTGAGGAAGATCTGATCACTGGTTGTCAATCAACTGGTGTCAGCCTGGCTCAGTTGGTAGCACTCTGAGTCAGAATGTTGAAGGTTCATCGTCACATCAGGACTTTGAACGTAGACTTGGCTGGCACTCAGATATAGTGCTGAGGAGCACCAGAATGTTGGAGTTCCTTTGGATGAGATATTAAACTGAGATCCTATCTGCCTGCTCATGATGGGCTTTAAAAATCCCATTGCACTTTTTTTGAAAGGAGAAGGGAGTTTTCCATGGATCTTGGCCAACATCCCTCAGATAAAATTGGTCATTCATGGCTATTTGTGGGGCATTGATGTATACAAATTGGCTTCTGCTTTTGCCTACAAAATACAAAGTCACTATACTTCACAGTAAATCCTGAGAAGCACTTTAAGACATCCTCCTGGTGTGAAAGGCACTATATTGAATGCAACAATTATTTATTTTACCTATCTAACATGATATTAATTGAATTGACCTTAACAATATCCTACATTTCTGCTGGTGTTGCAATATTTTTATTTTAAAGAGATGAGAATTCCTTTATTTGCCTTCTCATTCTCAACTGCCTTGCCACCAATCTGAATTAGATTATTTCCAGTGTGTTGATGCACATAGTGCTTGGTTTTTAATATGGACAACAATACTTGTCCAGTACCACTTCATCTCCAATGGGTTTTGCGTAGAGTAGGTTTGGTGGTCTTTGCCTTTTTGTGCATCATAAATGCTGACAATTTTTAACATGAAATGGGGTTTGTGTTTACATCAAATGTCCTCAACTTTAGCCAAATAGACACAACATATCAAATGGTCTCATATGCTGAAAAAGTTTGTTTCCATGTTTAATGACTTCAAAACTGCAAAAGCTCGTACTTCTAATATCGTTTTCAATACTTGCTCTCTTCAGCATTAAGTGGAGGTTATAGTATTTTTGAAAAATAGTCTTGCCAAATCTTTGTTTCAGGAATCCAGTGTCCAAAATACCACCAGCACAGAAAGTCAGCACTTGCCTAATTCTGATAATGCATCTGCAACTTCAGAAATTCAGTTATGCCAGAGCAGTCTTGCCTCCACTCCTGCGCATGAGAGAACAGGTTGCAATATACAAGAGGAAACTCAACAGAATTATGGCATGGGTAAGTATCTGAAATTGAAAGAATAATACAGATTTCCTGTACTGTACTCTATTTAGATATTAAGTGTATTGTATCAGAAATTAATTTTCAGTTGAAGTCTTCAATTCAAACTCACAGAAGTGTGTAAACTTCTGTTCACTACAGGTACAGACATGTCTAGTATAAGTTAAAATGTGTAATTGTAATCTTTGATTAATTGTTACAATTGATCACAATCTATTTTAGTTTATGATTGATTGCTTGGTAATTGCAAATAGTGAACAGATATTGGAAATTTGAAACCAATTTATTCCAGCTGCTGGAGACAATTCAGTACTTTTTATTCTAGCGATGTCTGCACATGTACAGTGAGATTGAATTACTGTTTTCATTACATGGACCTGCATCCTGCTGTAATGAGTTTTCAGGTAACCCAGGGCTAATGAAATGGATGGTACAATATGAGTAGATTTATGCAGCCAATACGTGCAGTGTATACCAGTATAGAAATAAACACTTGTTCTGAAGATAGAAATTCAACAATGGTGCAACTATGTATCAAATATATTATTAATGTTTGAATGTATTTGTTTAGCACACCTTTTTATTAAATATGCAAATTATGTTTTTTAAATGGCAACGGTGTGTTTCCAGATGCTTAGTGCTATGTAAGGCAGTCATCAGAAATGAGATTTTAATACATCTTTGATGTTCAAAAAATATTAATGCATATGAAAATGATCACCTTTAACTTTCATATAGAGTATATAATATATGAAGTGATCACTTTTATTGGTGTTATATTTGGTGACCAATATTGTAAAATGCATTAGAAGATGCTGCATCAACAACAAAATTACATTCGTATAGCGCCTTTCACGTCGGGAGTACGTCCCAAGGCACTGGCCAGACAGAGTTTCGGACCCAAGCTGGGAGTTGGGGTTGGGGAATGTGGAAGGCAGGGGGGGATGCAGGGAGATCGAAAGCATGGGTGAAGAGGAGAGTCTTGAGATGGGTCTTGAAGGTGGCAAAGGGCGAGACGGAGCGACTGCGGGATGAAGTTCCAGAGGGTGGGGGCAGAGTGGCAGAAGGCCTGCCTGCCTATAGTGGGGCGAATGAGGCAAGGGATGTGAAGCAGACCGGAGGGAGCGAGCAGGATGGTGGGGGTTAGGAGGTCACATAGGTTGGGGGGAGCAACACCATGGAGGGCTTTGAAGGTGAGGACCAGCATCTTGAACTATATTCTCTGTGTGATATGAAACCAGTGGAGTTGGGCGAGGATGGGCGTGATAGGCTCGTGGAGCTTAGGGTGGGAGAGGATATGGGCTGCAGAGTTCTGGATGATCTGCAGCCTGCGGAGGGAGAAGTTGGGGAGGCCGACAAACAATGAGTTTGCATAGTCGAGCCTCGATGTAATGAAGCGTGTATGAGGGTTTTGATGGCCTGTTTTGGGATGTTTTGGTATCAAACATCCTATGTCGACAAAAACAGTTAAAGACAATCTGCAGCGATAAATGTAGATGATAACTAAGAGCATAAGGAATTTAATGTATTTTCACTCTGCTAATATTGTGTGTAATATGACTGGGATGGTTCTACTTTGCAGAAAATAATGGATTAGAGTCCTTTCACCTCCTTCAACCAGAAATCACTGTTAGTGAGTACAGCTTGAACACAGAAAGCTCAGATGGAGGTTTGATGAATGTCCGCACATTGGAAGAAAGCTCCCACAATGAAACTACTTCTTCAAACAGTGAATATTTTCATCCGCCTGTCCTTTTAAGACCAGAAGGTGCAGATGCTGTTGCTGACATTCAGGATGTTATGGAGCAATTAAGTTGTTCTGACATAACCATTGAAAATCTACGGAAAGGTAGCATTGAGAGCTCACAAAAGCATAATGTTTCATTTGTCGATCTAAATGCAACAATGAGTACAGTAAATGAGTTGCCTCTTAATCAGTATTCAATTTTCAATAATCAAAATGGAAACCCAATAGGTGATGAATGCAGCTGTAAAATGCCATCAGTGGTCTCACTTGCCAAGAAATTGAACTCAACTACGGCCAATGAAATGAATATTCTGTCAAAGGAAGCTCCTGAATCTATATCTGAAGAAAACGCAAATCATACTGTTGGTATACAGCATGGTGTTTCAGAGCAGGATGGCCAAGCACCACCTGAGCATCTGTCTCCTGTAAAAGAAGAAACTGCTCCACTGGAAAATCAATTGGAGCAAGAGGACGATCAGCTGCATCAGTCAAATTCTTCAAAGCTCAGAGCAGGGATTTGTACCTCGTGCAGCTTTGTACCAGTGTGGGTATGTTTTTCAAGGGATTAGTTAAGATATTTATCGTGTTTGATGGAAACTTGTGAATGAGGTTCAATTTAACAAAGATATAAAAGAATTGAGTTGTTATTGAAGTAGTTTATTATGTTAGTTGTTTTGGCAAATATTTGCAAACTACTACTAATTTTGTCTTTGCAAAATACAAAATTGAATTCCATCTTCTGTGCTGCATAAGCAGAAAAGTTAGTTTTGTTTAAGGATGCATACAGGTAATTTTCAAAAGTAAAGCTGAATTTGTCACTTTTTTTTTATTGTGCAATAACTTTTAAAGGCAAGCAACTTGACCTAGCCAAGTAATATTTTTTATGCTTATCAAGTTAACAGTGCTGGAGAATGGAACATTTTCTAATTTCAAGCACTCAACGACATTATAAGATACTTTTCCACATATAGGTAATGTGACTAGCTTTAGAATTAAGCACTTGGTATTCAATTCTGTAAATTTGCTTTAATCTCCACAGCATAAGTATAAAATTTGTCTTATCAGCATTCACTTGAAGTGAAATTGCTGATGACTACTGAATTGGGGAATTTTATATATATGTTGGTGCACTGGGACCTTGCTTAGACTGACAAACTAGTTTCATGTTGAAAAAATAATATTCCATCAGAGAGGGAGGAAAGGGGAACTTTAATTCTGTTCTATGCTAGATTTGTTCTGTACTAATTAATGTTGCCACAGTCTTCCCAAATTTTACACTTCTAAGATTAATATGTCACTTTGGATCAATACAAAATTACATCTGTAAAGCGCCTTTCACATCGGGAGAACGTCCCAAGGCGCTGGGATGTTAGTCTTGTGTGTGTTTGAACTTGTAATTACTGCGCTTCATTTTTCTGATAGCAAATGGTTTTATACCCCTGTTGGATATGAGTGCTTGATATTTCCTGCTAAAAACCTGAAAAGTTACAAAATATCTATCAAAGGTGTTAATTCTAGTGCATCACAACAATAATGAAAGTTATTTCACAACTTAAAGGACCAAAAGCCTAATTTGGAAACTAGGTTTATTTTCACTTAGCAATGGTCATTCACAGATAAAGAATCATATTAATTCAAACTAAATGGATATAAAATCAATATTACTTCTATGATAGATATTCCTAACTGCTCTAAGTATGGATTAGAGCACATAATAGTAGATGTATGTGACGGAAGTATGCAATCACTGTTTTTGAAATAAGATTTGGATACAAGCAAAATTTGCTTGGTGTTTTCAACATAAAGCTTCTGAGGTGGCTCTGTAGGTTGAGAGCTAATGAAAAAATATGATCCTAGGCCTAACCTTTCCAATCTCTCCCAATAGCAGTAACCTGCCAGGCCTGGCATCATCCTCGTAAACCTCATCATATCAACAAGGAAAATGGTCAGCCCTTCTCCCTAGCACGTTGAGTGGCATGGTAATGCCAAGGGAAACATTTTCTTTACCGCTAGTTGGGGGTAAAGGAGTAGAAATCATGGGGTCATTCCATCACAACCCTTAAAAATGGACTTCAGCTTAAAAGAATTGTATGCTTAGTCTTTTTTTACCCTCCCTTCCCTCAATTTTAAACTTAGTTTCTTGTTTTAAAATTAGCAGTTTCCTGAAGGTGTTTCAATAATTTTCTGCAGTCTTTAATAATGCTTAAAAGGAAATGTTGCCAAGAATGATTCCTATTTGTTTTGCAATACACTGTCTCTAGGAGACCGAGTCAGGTGTTGGCATCATGGAAGAACCTGAACTGACACAGGTGACAATGGATGATTCGACTTTTGTAGAAGATGAAACAACTGATCCAGAAGGACAGGAACCTAAAGTTGAAAGGCTGATCTCTAACTCCAAACTTAAATTTTCTCAGGTAGATTATGTTTTTTGTTTTACGGACTTTATCTTTTCCTATGTCTTGCCAGTGAATACAATCTGCCAGCAGAAATTGTTCTTAATAGCTAAGAAGGCATTTAAAAATACAATTTGCATGTTTCAGGACTGGAAAGAACAAGCTGTCTTGTTCGGCTTCTAAAAGTGGAGAACCCCATGGTTCTAAATTGCCTGAGCAATCATTTGTAATTTGTAAAGCTTGGCCTAATGCTGTCTACAATCGCTTTCAAGTGTTTTTTTTTCTTTCGACTTCTGATACAAGGTCATATATAAAATTCATATTTTAATATAAAAAAAAATCTGTAGCTCAGTGGTTAGAGCATTCGCCTCGCAAGTGAGAGACTTGGGTTCTATTCCCAGCAATGCAAAATGTTGTGCAAGTTTCCTTACTCCACAAGCTCCTGTTTACTGAGCAGTAAATAGGAACCTGTTTATTAGTCGATTGGCCGATCGCTTTTCCGGGGATGATGATAATACCAAATAAAAAATAATAATTTGGTCACTCAGTACTCAACTGTTTGTGGGACACTGCTGTACGCAATTGGCTGCCGCGTTTCACCCACAAATATACAGTTAATTCACTTTACAGTATATTCTTTGAAGCGTTTTGTGACATCTAGAAGATGTGAAAGGCGCTATATCAAATGCAAGGATTATTATTGTTGTCCTCGGGAATTTGTTCATTTTTAGCTCCTTGAGCATAGCTAAAACCCCAGCCTCACTCATGTCTATTGTCCTGGAGCTCAATCAATGTTTAGATGTGGGAAAAATGACTTTTTACTGTCTTCACAGGTAAAAAAAATCTCTGGGAAGCAATTGTTTAATATGTTTGCTACCTCCTGTTCAATCGCTTTCATTTCTCTTTGGGTCCCTTAGGGTTTTAATTTTTTGGTGGCTATAAAAATTCAGTACTCATTGAACATCCAGGATTAGGTGATGGTTGTACCCTTTTTCATGCATAGTTCATGCATGGACTGGGGCTGATGGGCAAAAATGATGGGGGGAAATAATCATCTGAAATGCAGGGAGGGGACTTTAAGAAACGTTAATGTCAGAATTGTGGGGTACATAATCACTAGCAAATACTACAGTCATCTATGTTTAAACACAGTGCATGAGAGAAAAATCAATGCACAAGAGAAAAAGAACTATTGGGATAATATTGATGCCCTAAAATGCCAAGTTATTGTAAAAGACTGATTGGAGATAATTTGGAGAGTTGGGAGACTTCAAATATTTTCATTCACTGGACAACTTGTAAACATTCATTCCTAGGTAATGAAAAGTTCCTTTTGTTTGTATAACATACATGTTTTTATATACATTATTAAGATGATTCTACTGTATATGTAAATAATAATCAGAATACATTAATAAATCAAATTTTTCCAGTGTTATAATATGTAGTCTTTTTAAATCAATACCATGAAAGCCACAGTTGTATAAAATAATTAGAATATCATGTTGCTTTTAAAAGATGCTGAGCTGGAAAATAGCGCACTGTAAATCATTAAATTACGTGGACTGATTATATATTTGAGCCCATTTTGCCTTTTGGATTAAGTGTATAAATCCCGTTTGTAATAAAGGTTCAATACAGAAATGCATTGCTAGTTTTATTGTGATCTGTGAATCAGCTATGATGACTTAATTCATTTGGATAAACTGAAAGGAAATAGATGGAGCAAATTCCAAACCCCAGTTATGCATAAATATCAAATTCTAAGGCTAGTTTGAACTATTATTTATAAATTGATCATATAATAATCATTTGACAGTTTAACACCATTGAAAAGATTTAATTTACCAAACCCAGCAATCCTCGAAAGTACTTTCACCATTGTACTAAATAAATTCTGTTTTTTCATCTCCTATTTCTTTAGCAAACAGCTATTATAATTTTGTTATTTAGATGCTGTTGGTATATATGAGTCATTTAGAGTTGAATAATTATTTTTAATCTAGGTAAAGGAATTCCAGGCATTAACTGAGATGACCAATGACAACAATTCTCTCTCACAGAAGTTACCAGTTTCAAATTCTAGTCCAAATGACAACCAGTCTTCATCTCAAAGATCTTCAACAGGTACTGAAATGGTATTTAATTTGGTAAATCAAATACATTGACACCTTTTGTTTTCTGCTGCTAAAATGTAACCTTGAATTCTAAATTTAAACATTTTGCTGAGAAGCAGTTCCATAAAGAATCTCTTTCAGTATCAGTGTTTTTAGGACTATTGTAGCATCTCTCCAGTGAAACCAATATTAAAATTTATATTTTTATAGTGTCTTTCATGTTGGGAGGACGTCTCAAAGTGCTTAACTATGCTGGTCGGGTGATCAAACTAGGGTTCAGGAGGGGGAAAAGGTGGCCAAAAGTGTAGCTTTCAATAGTGCTACATCTGAGTTTACATGCAATTTAGTACTAGTATTAAAGTTCAATTTTGCACCTTTGACACCATTATGTTGTCCAATAGTTGGAATAATTAGCTTTTTTTCTTCCCAGTTATGGTAATTGAGTTTGATTCATCTCATAAGATTTTCAATAAAGAAATTCTGAAGAAAAAACAAAAGTTTATTGCAAACTCTACTAAACGGTTGGAAGACTTAAAAGGGAAAGTAAGATCTGAACCCGTACAATCTGTTCACTCATTTCTGAAACCAAGAGCGGAAAAAAACCCTGTACATCAGGACCAACCTTTGCTATCTGGTAAGAAAGTGCACTTTTTTTTAAATGGATTTGTTTTACCTTCCTAATTCACAATATATTGCGGAGCTTTCAATTAAATCCATCTTCTTGATTCTTGCAAAGTTCCTTTATGGGATATTATTATGTTGAAACAAGGGTATAAGAAAAGTAATAATAATCCTTGCATTTGATATAGTGCCTTATTATGTCATTGAGCCATCTCAAAGGGCTTCACAGAATATATTGTAAAGTGGATTGACTGTATTTTGCTGGTGAAAAAAATGGTATTGTATTTTAATTTCGGGTGGTGAGGAATAAGAAGGGAAATTAAATAACTCTTTAATACAAAATAAGCAATAGACTGGTGCAAAGAATGTTGCCTTTGAAGCAAAAAATATGAATAGATTTATTAGACACTTTTCTAAAGAAAGGGAAATGGTAAGAGTTTGCATAAATAAAATTGGGATTAATAATGAAAGAGAAATTTATAAGAACGTTGCCTTTTCCAAAACCTCTTATTACAAACCAACAGTGATGTAGACGGAGTCTTTGGGGTTCATAAAAAACAGTGTGAAATATATAGGAGTTGATTGTGTACTTTTCAGACAGTACTTTTCAGCTCTGGTTGATCATGTCAGCAGATCAGAAAAATGATTAAAGTAAATTTATAGTCATGGAAATTTTAGTGAGAATTATGTAAATTCAATATAATTGGTTTTGCTCCATTCTATATGAAGATGGTTTTCTAATTATAATGTTGGCCTTTTTTGCAGTAAATGATCCTGACCCTTTCCTTGTAACTTAATTGCAAAAATATATTTCTCAGTTGCTGGCAGTCTCTTAAGTAATGAATTTCAAAATACAGTAGTTTAAAAGTTGCGTGTCCACAGCACATAAAACAAATATGAGCTGCCATTAAAAATTGATGATCTAAAACTTTGTAAAAACAAATCAAAGTTCAGTGCATATCAAATGTATGGAGTCCTGCAGCTCAGTGGTTAGAGCAATTGCCTTACAAGCGAGAGAACCTCGGTTCAATTCCCAGCAGGGCAAAAAGTTGGGCATGTTTCCTTACTCCACACATTTCTGTTTACCTATCAGTAAGTAGAAGCCTGTTTTTTAGTCGATTGGTGGATTGCTTTTCTGGGGGTAATGAATAATTCCTTCAAAAAAATAATAATAAATTGGTCACTTCAATCCATGACTGTTTTTGGGACACTGCTGTGCTCAATTGGCTGCCACGTTTTACCCAGAAAATATACAGTCACTAGACTTTACAGTATATTCTGGGAAGTGCTTTGAGAAGTTTAAAAGACGTAATAAGGTGCTATAATCAAATGCAAGAATTATTATTTTGATCTAAGAAGATATTACCCAATAGTTGTGTGATATGTGCCGAATGTAATTATTCAAACAATCAACGTAAGTATTGAAATATTTAAAATGACGAATTAATCCTCTGTGAAAACTGATCTATGGCCTCAGCTGGCTTGGTTGACTGAGTTATTTCTCGTTTCTGTACTAACCAGCACCATCAATGACAATTCAACTAAAGATGGTGGGAGAAGTGAAAGTTTCAACTCCAGAGGACAGAAAAACTGCAGAAATAGAGATGCGTCAAAGAACACTCAGGTGTAGTAAAACTGGCGCAGATGCCTATTTATTGAAGTATTCACATTATAAAACCTGTCTGGATACCAGTGCATCAGACTTTCTGGGAAACTTGTACGCCAAGTCCTTCAGATGAGCCTTAAAATTGAGGTCCTGCCTGCCTCTCCAGGTGGATGCTAAATAACCTATTGCACTATTTGAAAAGATAAGGGAGTTTTTCCTGGTGTCCTGGCTGATGATCCTCCAGTTAAATTGGTTATTAACCACATGGCTGTTTGTGGGATATTGCTGATTTTGTTTTGGTCAGCTTGGTGATGGGTATCCACATGTGGCAGAGTATCCAACCCAGAGTTCCATGTATACCTAACTGCACATAGAAATTCCTGCGTTTTGAAATGGAATGTGCATTTCCTCCATGGAAGGATACATCCCTGCCTAATTGGGGTATTGCTGGAGTTGGATGAGCACTACTTGTTCAGCTAGGACCATCACTGCCCCCCAAGTCGTACCAATGAGCCACGCTGCTTGGGCTGCCTTTGAGTTATGAGGACCAGCCAGGCTCGGGAATCAGACGCCGGCCAACGCTGCAAAGGGTTGACTCGACTCCTAACGTTCCATTGTCAAGCATGTCACGCTGGAGCCAGTCAGCTCCAACGGGATTCCAACCTCCCACCCACCCGGAAGATATTCATTGAGACAACTAGAACAGACTAAATAACTGAAGGGCCTGAAGAATGAAAGGATGGATGATTGGGCCCATTTTTAGAATGTTGTTTATATTTCTGTGTGTATTTAAAATAAAACTAACCCTTTTTTTGGTACTGCTGCTCCCAGTTACTGCAAGTGGAAAAATTCTAACTTTTGCAAGAAAATCTTAAAAATGGTGTTCTAAATTAAGATCTGGGTCTTCATTGTTTACTTGATTTTAATTAAGTAACAGATCTGTATTTCTGCTTTACTTACTAGACTCTACAGTCAACTAAGTGAGGTCAAAAACAGGAATGAGGAGGTGATGAGATGTGCAATGAATTCCAGAAACCGAAAAAAGGCAAAGGAATTCCAAAAAGTATGTTTTTGTTAATGCTACAGCATAGCCCATATAATAAGAATAGTCCTCGCATTTGATATAGTGCCTTATAATAATAATAATCCTTGCATTTGATATAGCGCTTTTCACGTCGGGAGGACGTCCCAAAGCGCTTCACAGAACACACATTTGTGGGCGAACACGGCAGCCAATTGCGCACAGCAATGTCCCACAAACAGTCATAGATTGAAAATGACCAATTTATTATTGTTTTTGGTTCTGGAGGGATTATTATTAGGCGTGTGGAGTAAGGAAACTTGCCCAAGGTTTCGCCCTGCCTGGAATTGAACTCGGGTCTCTCACTTGCAAAGCGAGTGCTCCAACCACTGAGCTACAGGACTCCATGCCTTATCACGTCTTTGAGACATCTCAAAGCGCTTCACAGAATATACTGTAAGGAGAATTGGCTGTATATTTTGTGGGCGAAACCCGGAAGCCAATTGCGCACAGCAGTGTCCCACAAACACTGGATTAAGTGACCAAATTATTTTTTTATATCGCCAGAAGGATCAGAAGGTTTGAATTGATGCTGTCAGTTACTGCAAGTGGAAAACTTTTGCAAAAAAATCTTAAAATTGGTGTTCTAAATTAAGATCTGGGTCATCATTATTTGGTTGCTTACTTGATTTTAAATACGTAACTGAGAGAAGCTAAGCCAGGATGGAAGTTGTGGCAGTACAATTGATATCATCACTTCTGGTTATGGAGGGCAAATGAGTTTTATGGTTCCTTATAATTATCCAGACATCTCTGCTACACAGTGAATGTTGTGTGAATTTGAATGTGTGAAAACTGAGTTCAGTTGTGATGTAAACTGTAGATGCAAACCTGCTATGTCGGCTTGGATAATGGCAACTTGAATGACAGACAACTTCTGTATAATTGTTCCCCAGTTGAAGGAAAAAGGGAAGTTGGCAGAGACAAACAACTGGGCCTTAATCTAATTTAATGAAACTTGACTGACCCCAAACTGTGGTAGCAGAGTGTGCCAGTCATCCTTCAAACAGTGACTTCCTCTCTTGGTATTCTGGATGATAAACAGCAATTTCACCTCCAATGTGGTTCATGAATCTCTTAAGAGTGAGTTCTAAACCAGTTTTGGCAATGGACTTGGAGCCAGTTCATTTTACCCCACTCTCAACCGAAGATGAATGACGTTGGGAATGTGAGGTCATAGTTCAGGCTGATGGGAATGCAGTTTGAGAAGGAAGGAGCATTTCTCATGGTGTCTTGTCCAAGATAAATTTGTCATTCTTTTCATGGCTGTTTGTGGGATGTTGCTGTGAAAATTGGCTGCTGTACTTGCCTACAAATACACTTCACACAACTTTATGAAAGGTGCTATATCAAATGCAAAGATTATTTATTATTCATATTTGAAGATAAAAGGGTTTAGAATTAATGTTTTTATAGCACTTTGTATGTTGTTATTAAGTTTTAAATGAACTGTGTACAAAAAAAACTCAAATTCAACCCTCTTTTTCCACAGAAAACACTAGAAAAATTAAGAGCCAAAAAACATCGGTGATCATTACAGTATCTGTTTGCAGTGGCTGTTCTACCGAAGCAACAATCATTTTTGGCTTTGTTTCAATTGTATTAGTCTGTAGACTCGTTACAGTGTGTTTGAAGTAACTTGTTTGTAACGTAAAACCACTTTCTTCAGATTTTTTCATTTAAACAGGATAGCTTATACCTTATTTTCAGAATTTATTTTCAAATTTTGTAACTAAATCAGTGAATTTTAGGTATTTATAAACTGGGTTTCATAATATATACATTTTAGTGGATTGTCAGTTTGTATAAAATAAAATTTTATGTAAATTTGCAAAAAATGTAATTGCTCATATAGAATAATTTTGTAAACTAGTCAGTTTTAGGTTTTTCAGACACGTTTAACACATTTTTCCAACCTTGTGCATGGAATAATTGTGAATTATGATTGGTGTTCTATTGTAAAAATGCAAATACAGTAAGTCATACATTGATTCACTGTATTTTCTCTGGATATGACAATTGATGAGAAACCAAGGACTTTCCTGCTTCTAAAAGACTCTCCCACCTGAAGGGCACTCTATAAATGCGAGTTATTGTTCTGTAGCTGAAGTTGTAAGCAAACTAAAGCATCAGCCAAAAGGCAAAATACTGCAGCGCAGATGGCAGAAATCCGGCCTCACGATTCACCGTTATCTGTGGCTCAAGCACCTCTGCACCTACACAGGCGAGAACTGATACTCCAAAGTCATCCTGGAGGCCAAAAACAACCCAAAGACACAGTTTTCCACTGTTCTTCCCCTCCTCTGTGCACACCCTCAAGCTCCCTCTATCCTCACATCAAACGCCAAGTGCGCAGAGGTCCTAGACTTCTTCGCCTCAAAGATTGAAAACATCCGCTTGGCTGCATCGTCTCTCCCACCAACCCACCCAGGCAATCCACACCACCTTCTTCCTCCGCACTGGCTACTGCCACTGCCCCCTCCTTACACTCCTTTGCCCCAATTTCTCCCTCCTTCCTTTCAACCAAAATCACCCGCATGAAGTTCACAATCTGCTGCCTCGACCGCCTCACCACTCAGCTGCTAATCACTCAACTCCCCTCCTCTCCCCTTGCTGGCCGACAAGGTCAACCAGTCTCTCTCCTTAGGCTCTGTTCTACTCCCCTTGAAAACCACTGTTATCACACTTTTCCTCAAAAAACCCACCCTTGATTCCTCTAATCTCTCACACTACTGTCCCATTTCCAACCTACCCTTCCATGATAAAGTCCTGGAATGCATTGTTGCAGTTCAACTTAGGTCACACCTCCCTCCTCGAGCCCCTTCAGTCTGGTTTTCACCCTGCCTTCGTTCCTCCGGCTCTGGCCTCCTCCGATTCCGCCGCTCCACCCTCGGCGGCCGTGCCTTCAGCCACTATGCCCCAGGGCTCTGGAATTGCCTTCCTCACGCCCTCCATCTTGCTCCCTCCCTTCCCATTTTTAGGTCTCTGCTGAAGACCTTTCTTTTCGACCGTGCCTTTGGTCACCTTCCTTCCCCTCCCCCTGGCTCGGCGCTGGGATCCGTTACTGTGAAGCGCTTTGAGACGCCGTCCAGCGTGGAGGGCGCTATATCAATCCAAGTTGCCGCCCACAGCACAGAGACGGCATTTGTCAAAGTGGAGTCCTGTAGCTCAGTGGTTAAAGCGCTCGCTTTGCAAGCGAGAGACCCGAGTTCAATTCCAGGCGGGTGAAACCTTGGGCAAGTTTCCTTACTCCACACGCCTAATAATAATCCCTCCAAAACCAAAAACAATAATAAAAATTGGTCATTTTCAATCTACGACTGTTTGTGGGACATTGCTGTGCGCAATTGGCTGCCGCGTTCGCCCACAATTACACAGTCAATTCACTTTACAGTGTGTTCTGTGAAGCGCTTTGGGACATCCTCCCGACGTGAAAAGCGCTATATCAAATGCAAGGATTATTATTATTATAAAGTCACAAACGACGTCCTCTTTATCTGCTGCCTCTGCCCCCTTACCTCCTCAACCCCTACCAACTCAACCGCTCTCTCCACTCAGCGAACTGCTGAGTAGAGAGAGCCTGCTTCACGGCTCCCAGCCTTCTGGCCCCACCATCGGTGGTTGGTCTTTCAGCATATCAGCCTCCATTCTCTAGCTTCAGCCTGGAGTCCCTTCAACTTGCCCCTTCACTCACCTTCACGATCCACCTCAAAAGCTTTCTCTGGCACTTTCGGCCATATTTCCCCCTCAGCCCCCCCCCCTTGGTTGAAAGACTGGACTATCCAGTACCTTGCGATTTCCTCCCACAGTGAAAGGCCTATATAAATGTAAACTTGTATTGGGTAAAAGCAGAAGGCTTTTAAAGCGGTACCAGAAGCCTCATCAGAGCAAGCGAGAACTGCTGTAAAGGGAATTCACGACCAACCATGGCATGAGTCTGGGAAGGTTATTTGTGAAAATGCAGCAGGATCAATTCCATCACTTCATAAGGGATTGCAACTGCATACGAGCTATCCAAAATCTTTTCCTGGCTGAAATTTGTCGTTTGTTATGGCTGGAAGGTCCCTCTGGGCTGGTGGCACTCTTAGATATGTCTAATGTTCAATAACAAATCCATGAGGATCCCTTTTAGTTGGCATCTGACCCAATCAGCCATAGAGATCCATCTGCACTGAAGGTAGACAAGCTCACAGGAGATGAACAGATTGAAAGCCTTAATGATCCACTCTGCTGGGAGGACTCCAGCCAGCATTGCCTTGCTAATGGTAAGGTAGTAGGTGCAGTCAGTATTAAAACTGAGTTGCTTCAAGGGAAGGGGTGGAGAATGGTGAGGGTACTACAGATCAATGCCAAGCACCATCAGCCTCCCCTTGGAGATTCCCTTCTAAGGCCACTAATTAGGATTCTCTTTGAGACGGACTCACAGTGTCTGTGTTTGAGTGCAATTGTGGTATCCAAAAGAAGGGTGACCCTACTGAGAAAGAACTACTGAGGAATTTCACTGGATTGGTATCTGGGGAAGACAGGTTTGCAGGGTTATGGGGAGAAAGGGGTGATTGGGGTTAGTGAAAGTGACTTGCTCTGTCAAAGAGCCGGCACAGACTCGATGGGCCGAATGGCCTCCTGTGCCGTAACATTCTATAAAATCTATGAATTTCAGTGCTCTTATGGTGGTGCTTCAGGTACTTGCTGCACATATATTGGAGGCCTGTGATTTGATCAGGAAAGAACAGGCTAGATTCTTTTCTTGTGAGGAGTGTGTGGAGGGTTGTTGCTTTATGATTGTGGAACCTTGTAAAGCCCAGGGGAAACCCACTTACATTGCACAATGTTCATTGATTTGTGCCTTGCAAAGCCTTCATGACAAAACTAGAAGTTGTGAGAATATGACCAAATTCTGAATTTTGTTCAGAATGTGAATTCCATTCCAGGTTCAGTGTCAGGTTTGATGGGAGACTCACTGTTCCTATCCCTCTTGAAAGGATAGGACAAGGCTAATGTCTACTGTCACCCACCATATTTGATGTATTGGATAACATTTATGACAAAATTGCAATGCTTCCGTTTGTTGAAGACATTGTGTTCTTGGCACTTACCTGGGGATTTTGTGCACTGCGCTCACCGTTCTTGAAGTCTGGCTCACTCAGTAAGAGATGATTGAGAGTGCCTTTAGGTGCAGTATTGTGGACGGCTCAAGCGGATCTATGAAGGTATTGATTGGAATATACAAGAGGCATCAATCTCAATTGTGGGCCCCAATTTTTTCTTACGCATTATCTTTTGGGACCATACTGAGAAGGGGGAAAAGCTCATTCTTATCTATTTGGTGGCTGTGGTTTCAGCCACTACGCCCCAAAGTTCTGGAACTCCCTCCCTCAATCCCTCTACCTTGCCTACTCCCTCCCCACCTTAAAATCCCCCCAAGGACTTTTTTTGATCATGCTTACGGTCACCTCCCTCTCCTGGCTCGGGGTCAAGATTCCGTGACGCTATCACACATGAAGAGCGCCATATAAATACAAGTTGTTGTTGTTCAATGACAGTAAGGTCCCAAGGCAGGTTAAGATTGGCGTTATAAGATAACATCTAAATAGTTCTTCAGGGTTCTGAGATCGTGGACGGAGGGATTTCCTTTAACTCGAAATCCTTTGATTTTCGTGTGTGATTTAGGTAGGACCACTTGGTGTGAGAAACAAAGGGGAAGGCTGCACATCTTTTGTTACCCACCTTGGTCATCTTTTTCTGCCATGTCTTTTTAAAATCTACACTTCATAACTTTAACCTACAAAATAAAGTCACTCGACTTTATAGTAAGTCTTGTGAAGTGCATTGAGCGTCCCCTGACATGACATATCAAATGTAAAGCAATATATATATATACTGAATATATAATATATATCCAGTATATATACCAGAGATATATATTGTATATATTATATAGTATGCATACTCTGTGCATGTGTGTATATATATAATACTACACATGAGTATATCCTTTGAAACACTTTGCGACTTCTTGACAACGTAAGGTGGTATATCAAATGCAAGGATTATTATTTTTATTTTACTTGCAAAAATTAGTTTCTTTTAATATTTCACCTTGGAAATATTGTAATAATCGCCAAACATTGGGAGGACATTCCAAGGCAGTAGATAGTCGAGTGTTTGCACCTGAGTTGGAAGTTCAATTCAGGAGGGGTGATTATCAATGAGGGGACATTACCGAAGGCGCGATCAAATAGGAAGGTCTTGAGATGGTCCTTGAAGAAGGGAAAGGGTAAGACAAAGGAATTCTGGGTTAGAATTCCAGGGAGCGGGAGCAGATGAGTTGAAAGCCTGATCACTGCTGATGGAGGGGGGTGGGGAAGAGCGTGAAGCAGGCCAGTTCCTGCTGAGCGGAATGAGCAAACGGGTCAGTAGGGTTTAAGAAGGCCCCAGAGATAGGATGGGACAAAACTCTGGAAGGCGTTAAATGTGAGTACTTGATGCTCTGGGGAGTCAGTGGAGCTCATCAAAAATGCAATTTGTTGTTGCAAAATTTTCTCTCCTTCTCCAATCCATCTAGAGCAGCGGTCTCCAACCACACAAAGTATATCGTGCATTTCGAGATGCATGAAATACTTTGCACCTGGCTTTGTTTTAAATTGGACTAAATAACTACATCGTTCTTATCGCTCCTTTTGTCTTTTTCATAATGTGCGATTGCACCACCTAGCAGCAACTGACTGGTTGGAGACCCCTGGCCAAGAGTGTTGACTACTGTGCTCGTACTGTTTTTATATCTACAAAGTGGCCAAGTTGTGCTGTAAAGCAGCAACCTGTCATCTCTGTCCCGGTGCGCGTGGCACCTCTTTCCTAACCCCGTACCT